AAAATGACAGTTTTAATTGAAAAACTAGTCTTGAATAATATCTATTAACAAATTTAAATTATATTTCCAATTTCTAAAATAATTTACACATTAAACCATGTGGATATCTACTTAAATTCCTAAACTAAATACTAAACTACACAGCAATTCAAATTATTTTAATGATTTATTTACTTACTACCCATTTTCGTGACGTGCAAATGCAACAGCAGGTTTAGGCCAAATAATTGCCAACTGAAAACAATAAGCTCGTTCTTTTTGTGGCTGTACTCCCTGGGCCAATCGTGGCATCTTAATGCGGCCCTGACATTTAAATAGATGCTAATTCCCATCATAACTACTGACTGAACTAATGAATTTAAACTCTACTGGCGATCCGATTGGGGCCAACCTCACGACACTGCTCCCAACTTCCTGCTGGCCGCTTTCTTTGCGCGTGAATCCGTGTAACCGCACAGCACACAAAACTGTGATTTGCCCAAAAACAGAAAGCCGGCCAGAAAGCTTTGCGGATATAAACGCTTTAAAACTCCATATTGTGGCCTGCCTGGCCCGGATGCGACGACAACGACAATTGTGAAGACCAAATGGCCAAACTCGACTCCAGCCGGCAAATGTCTACGCAGCGTTGTCGCTTCTCCTTCTTTTGTTGCCGCTTCTGTTGCTGCTGCTGTTGTTGCTGATGATGTGGTTGTTGTTTCGCTTGTTGCCGCTTCGTGTCAACTGACTTGGGCCTTAGCCTCAGCTCCAGAGTCAGTTCCAGCCCCGGCTACGAGCTACGAGCTACAGCTTTCGGCTTTTGTTTTCACAAGCCGCCCCATTTTGCTTAGCCAGCCATCCCATAACATTCGCCCCAACGTTTCCTGTTCAGAATGTTGCCCGCTGTCCTGTCCTGTCCCCTTGGTTGTGATTGTGACTCTGACTGTGTGATTCCTCCTACAAAATTTAGGGGGACAGTGGTTCAGGAAAGGGTTTTTGAGATAGGTAAAGGTTACTTATATTAATTCAATAATATAAATGTATAATTAGATGATTTAGATACATTTTAAAGCAAAGAAAATGTTCTATTCGTGATTTTATCTTCACAAAAATACATAGTTGAAACAGATTAAAAAGGTTCTTAAAATGTGTTTAACCTAGTTTATAATCTTAACATTGGTCTATTTAGATTTCAATGATGAATACCCTACTAAAGACTTCAAGAAACTGGCATAAATTCTCCCATTTTGGGTTTAAAATACTTTAAATTCTACTTAATAATATTACATAAATTTATTTTGAATATAAATAAGGGTAAAAGCTAAGTTCAAAGCTCAGTATCTGCATAGTTTCATTATTTTTATATGTATAAAAAACACTACTTTGACAAAACACCATTAAAGAGGTATTAAAATTATTATTATTTATTAAATTTCTTTACTAAAAATTCAAATTAATATAAACCCCCAGAAAAACCCCCAAATCAAACCTAAGTTTCATGCTAAACTCTCACCCCTTTTGCTCCACTGTTATCCTTTTCGGCACCGTTCCCTGGGCAATTGTGCGTTAGATTTAAGTGCTTTCGTTTGCCAGGCTTAATTTGCATTTTTATTTTTATGTTTTCATTGAAAGCGCCAGCATCAATGGAGCCCGCTGCTGGCTGCTCGTTCGCTGGAGCACATTTGGCTATTCCTTTGTTTTCGGCTTAAAGTTATCAGTGTCGGTAGATGTACACGGCATCAACGGTAGCAGCAGCAGCAACAACAGAGAACAACATGCAAAATGCAAATGTTTATTGGCCAAATGCTGAACGATCTCAGCCGGCTAAACTGAGAATGGGCTAACACTGTTTGGGGGCCCCTTAGATATTGCTGCTGCTGCTCCATACTGCCGGCTGTTGCCTCTTTCGGGCCTTGCAGCGGGTGCTGACTGCCACAAAGTTGTCGCCTTTTGTTGTGGCAGCAACCATTTTGGTAAGAACAACTAATCAATTGGCAAATGTGCCATCCGTCAATCAATTGAAGTCTGTCCAGATCGGCGCGGCGCGGCGGTGGTGTAGGTCACACGACACCACACGAGTTGATGCTGGCAGCTTGCTGCAGAATTGACTCGCATTCACTTTTGGGGCAAATAAAATGCCACCTTGGTTGTGAATGTCAGTTGGCCAATTTGAAAATTCATTCATTCAATATGTGTGCTCTCTGTGACGACTGGCTGACTGGGCTGACTGACTGCCTGACTATTGCCAACATTTATTATTAGCCTTTCCCAAACTGCCTATTTTTGGAGCTACCGATGGCCACACAGCAGTGGCAGCAGCAACAACTCCAGTGGCAGTAGCTTTAGCAGCAACAACAACATGCCGCACATATCACAGCAAGACAAATTTCTATATAATTGCATTTGTCGCAGGCTCAGCAGCAAAACCTCAAAGCTGCGAACCCAGATCGGCCATCGGACAATGCCAGGCATTATTTTTATATAAATTGCATGCCATTGGCCCGGCCCGGTGGCATTCCATCCGGCCAATTGAAAGCCCAAAGCCAAGAGCCGGGGCTGGGTTCGCTCGCTACTCGCTTCTCGCTCCGATTGTTTTTGCTTTTGCTTTTAGCCAGGCTCAAACTCTAATTGTCATTTAATGAGACACGCTCGGCATTTGCGCACGACACACGACTATCAATTTGGCAAAGTTGTGTGCAGTGCCATCGGTATTGGAATCGGAATCGAAGTCACAGATGAATCTGTTCGATTTTCTGACAAACTGAACTCAGCATTTCGTCCTGCCTTGAGGAGCGTTTTTGCTGCCGTTGGAAGCTTAATTCAATGTTGATGAAGCGTAAATTGGAATGGCATGGCGTTTTAAGTTCTTTTTGATTAAGCATCATATAGGACTCTCTATGGCGTATATATTTACCACATTTGTATTTTGATTATACATTTCTTGGCAACCAAAATGTAAACAAAAAGATGGGGGCCTTATTGTGTCATTTAAATAGTGCCAAAATATAAATACTTGAGCTCATTAGCATAAATATATATGTACTTACATCGTGTCTCAAAATAAAATGATTCTGGCAGGCAAGAAATTAACTTAGGTCTTTGGGATTTATCGAAAAACAAGACAAATTTGCAATTTGAATAACTTTATATACCAATTTTAAGCCCCCAACAAATTATGTATCTAAAGAATATTAACATTTTTTGGCAGTGAAAGACACAATACCTTAGCATTTATTTTTTGTTTTATTTTAATATTTACGTATATTAAATTCTCAATAAATTATGTTGAACTTTTTAGCGTATATAATCCCCTTGATTAATTAGAAACACCCTAAATATTATTATTCATTGGCTGTTTAATGCTTATTATAATATATCTAAAAATAAATGTGTATTAAATACCTTTAAATAATTAAATCGGCATCTAAAATATGTTCCTATTATAGTTTCTTGGCATCAAAAAGGTCATTTTACTATAATAAATTTCTTTTCTAAAGAAAACAACAAATATATACGCTCTCAAAACAACAAATAAATATGGTACATCAACATGCTCAACAAGAAAAACGTCTCTATATTAACTAAGACGCATATTATCCACTTAAATAATTGAATCAACCCCTAGAGATTGATGTCGTGGAAAAATTCTGCCAGCGAGTAAATGTTGGGCTCGCTGCCCGATGGATTCCAAGAGCCTCCGTGGCGCAATCGGTTAGCGCGTTCGGCTGTTAACCGAAAGGTTGGTGGTTCGAGTCCACCCGGGGGCGTATCAATATTTTTTTCTTATTACTATTTCATTTTAAATTTTCTTTGGTTAATAAGTAAATAGTCAAAATAGCTTCCTTAATGTTTTTTATTAATAAAACTCATATTTATTAGTTTTTGTGTTGCGAATTTTAATGGTACAATTAACAAAGTGAAATCGCAAATCGCTTTGGGAGGTCTTGAAGCTCGTAAAGAATTGATTAGATAAGTCGGAAGAATATAATTTGATTTTTTATAGGAAGATATAAATGATTTATAGGCTCGGGAAGGCAGGCAAGCAGGCCACAGTGATTAGCTCACTATATAGGGGCTTGGCTGTAACCTTTACATGAGCAGCTCCACTTTCAGCCGGCTTCGGCTTCAGCTACAGCTTCTGTTTTTTATGAAGCCTCGAGAGCGTAACAACAGTTGCACATGCTGGTGTTGCCAAGTATATCATGGCTACTTGGAGACAGTTTGTCGTCGCTGGCTTTGCTAATTAAAATGTCTTGGTGCTGTCACTCAAAAGGCAGTTGACTGGCCAGTGGATCAGGCAGACGACGACGACGGAGGACGGACGGCGGCGACGGCGACGATGACGACGCCCATTTTGGTCACCGGCAACAATGCGATTTTGCCTTTCGCGTTGCTGCTGCGGCTGCTACAATTTCATTGGAAGTCTGCAGCTGCAGTTGCAGTTGCTGTTTGCAGCGGGGGCACGCGGCGTATGCGCAATGCAATTTGCGATCTCCCTCGCACAAAATGGCGATCGCATTGTTACAGTTTGCAATTATTTTGATTTACTTTTTGTGCTGTCGCGTCTGCCCGGCTCCCTGGCACTAATCAAAATTAAAATGACGCGATCGATACACCAGACATGGCAATGCGATTCGAGGATGATGGGTCCCCCTTCTCGCCGGAGAGCCAGAAATCAATATTCTAAATTCTTTAACGCGTGTGCACATTTAAGGCAACGCCAGCTCATTGAGATGCGTGCCGGCGAACAGCCTGGCCAGCACTTATACGCAATTTCGCGCCATATTTGGTCCAAACATATTGGTTGTTTTTTTTTTTCGTTCTCGCTGCACACTTGGCTAGCATATAGAACAGGCCTGAGAGCAGCAGGCCAGGGTCTTGGAGCAGGATTGAGATCCCTCAAACTCGCATTCTACCTCCCCATCCAGGCGCAATCATCTTAAACCTGGCTTAGCCATAAGATCCGCCAGACTGTTTGGCTGCAGCACCACTAATCGAATGTGTTTCTTGGTTACTTGCAGGATGAACGATCGCCGACCTCGTCGGGCAACGAGTCGGATGATTCCTCGGATGTGGAGATGCCGGGAGAGGTCTCGGAGGTGTCTGCCTCCAAGCTGCCAGCTAGCAAAGCCGAGGCTACAGCGGTCTCAGCGCCAGCCACCACAGCCACGGCAGCCACATCTGCGACGGGAGCCTCAACTTCGGGCTCCAAGCCGATGCCAGCATTGAACTATCAGACTGAGAACGGACCCTCGACGTCCACAGCGGCTGCGACAGCGGGTGGATCAGCGGCGGACAGCAGCAAGTACGTCTACCCGGCCGCCTCCTTTGCCAATATACCGCAGAAGATGCTGAGGCAACTGATACAGACAGGACACTTGCAGCTGCACGCCGAGGAGGGTGAGTGTACCACATAGATATCTATAGCTATGATTACTATATACTATATATTCACAGATGGCAATCAGTATGTGACCATACCCCTAAGCTCCACTGCAGCCAACCTGATCAAGAGCAATAAGCTATCGGTGGCCAATAGTGGACCCTCGGGCTCTGGATCAGCAACAGCTACAGGGACCGCTGCCAAGTCAGAACCAAGTGCCGAAAAACCTCTGACCATTAAACAGGAATACGATTAGCATCCCACCAGCCACGTCCACTGCTTATCCAATACTGAGAACTGCGTTTATCCACACACTTGCCCACACACACACTCAATCTGAAAGATCAGCAGGATCATACACACTCTCTAAAAGTCTATCCAAAGTTTTGTATCATCATCCATCTAAAGATGATGCTGATGATCGCCTGCTAAGTCTAAGTCATACTATATCTACTATATATCGTATACATACTATTTTTTATACCTATACAACAAGAAGAAAAAAGTGAAGAAATGAAATGAAACCCTGATCGCGATGCCAGCGTCATATCTACGTACGTAAGTTTTAAAAGTTTTGCAAGTTATAAATCATAAAAAACCATAAACTGATGTATCGAGATGAATTATGATCGATCGATGATTGAATGAGAAATGGAAACAAGGATAATGATATGGATGTTCCTAAACCGCAGAGATCATGTTGCTTTGTTACTAGTTTATATCGTTTTATTATAAAAAAAAAAAATACTGAAAATACATATAAATCACTTTTTTTGCATAAAAAGAAAGAAGAAATACCCTGGTTTTAATTATTTTCTGCAGATTAAAGTTAAGTTTCCCATAAATTGCACTCTGCTCCCAACCCTTGGTAACTTAAGTCGGAAAATTTATTGTTTAATCAAGTGAAATGGCACTTGGGGGGCAAAGGGCAACGCCCCCACACCAGTAATTATGTACAGCCACATATACTGCGGGATATCGAGTATATACATATATCGTAGAGTATATAGTGAGTATCTACGAGAGTGCTTGGATTAAGCACACTCACAGAACGAGCGACGGACAAATGCCTTTTGGTATTTAGCCGCTTGATGGATGTGTCCGTGGTGGGTATTGTGATATTGATTGATTGGCGACATAATCTTATTGACACTTAACCTAATTAAACGTCGCTCATTACTTGCCGCCGGCACAGGTAGGTGTCCCAGTCGCTCTTGCTGCTCGCCGTCTAGCACCTGTTACCGCTTATGGCCCTCGATTGGGGCTAAGGAGGCCCTCGTCTTACCCATTGATCTTTTCCTGAACGGCAGAGGAACGACGGACGACGAGTGCTTCCGCTTCAGCGAAGGCACTTTGCATGCAGGAGACCCACAAAAGGCCACAAAAGGCGCAACGTGTGGCACATACTAATAGTGGCCACTTACCAAATGCCGCACGATGGACTATGGTCATTCTTTCTGAAATGAAATTGGGAGTTTTGATCGAAGGGAGAGTTATTTTGAAGCGTGAATATGATATGTAAATTATAGTTAATCAATATTTATTTATTAAAAATCATTAAAGTTACATCAAACTGCTTAAAACTTATTTTATTATAAGTTAAAATTACATTTGATCAAAGAATATCTGCCAGATTTTATTAGAAACTTTTAGAAAACCTCTCCACTGTGCGGTGGACGACCTGTGCGGTGGATTGGCACGCGCCGCGGTTTCCGTGGGCTTCGTCTTTGGCCATGGTCTTCAGCCGGAAGCCGTTAGTTGTTTGGGCCATGTGGGCTTTTATGGCCAAGTGTTGACAGTGGAGGCAGCAATCAAAGGCTGAAGCCATCCATCCCATCCATTCATCCATCTCTCTCTCTGCGGTTGGCCCGGTCAAAGTTGAGTGGGTCACTAAACTTGGCGGTGGCGGTGTTTGCGAATGGAACCGCAATTAGCGTTTATTATGGCCTGGTCGCGTTGCCCAGCACGAGTTGATTGACATTACTGTGGGCTAGTCCCGGCCCCATGGAGTCCATGCGAGTTGGAGTGTCCCTCTGTCTGTCTGTATGTTTGTCCTGGCTAGCCGCTTCGTTATTAACCGCACCCACACGAAGCTCATGTGAATATTGATCCTGTTCCTTTCACCTGTCCTGTCCTGGCCAGACCGACGATTATTAATAATGGTCACGCGCGCGGAAAACTTTGCATTGCGATTTCTCCTTCAGTCGAGTCAGTTGGCTGTGTCCCAGTGTCCTGACAGGTTAGGCTCTGTCCGCCGTTTGGAAAACCCCAGGAAAATCAATACTAATGAGCCATTAAACGTGGCCTCAGCTGCACTCGGCCGTAGTCTAATGAGCTGAGCGTCAGCGGCGGAAATTGAATGTTGAGTCTAACCAAGCGACTGCAGCAGGAAATCACTTCAGCATCGGCAACTCGGCATCGTTTTTATCATCTCCCTTCACCGACGGAAAAGGTAAAGGCAAAAGGTAACGCCCAAAACGGAAGTCTTAGGCGTAATGCCTTGCGCCTGAGCGGTTTTCATAGCATGGGCTGTTCCAGTTCCAAGTCCACAGCCACCGTAGACGATATTAAAACCAAGCCAGTTTCAGCCAAGTCAACTAAGATGGCCGGCCACAAGGAGTACCGTGAGTTGAAGAGCTATAACTATAAAATTTTAAAGCTTTTGAGATTTATTTTCCAGCTGCCTCGGAGGCCTTCACCATACCCTTGGATAATGAGAACGAGAACCCGGAGGTGCCTCTTAATGAGACACTGCGACAGCCGCCGAAGAGGATCCAGCAGATGATGCAAGAGGCGGCCAGCTCGGAGCCACCCACCCTCGAGGAGCTGGAGGATAAGCAGCAGAAGGCTGAGCAGCGACGCCAGGAGCTGATGCAGCAGAAGCTGGAGACCATACAGAAGAATGCCCAGATGCTGATGCGGGGTCATGATTCAGAAACTGCAACTGAAACAGGAGATGGAGATGCTGAGGCACCCAAAGAAAACCCCGAGGAGTAACTTGTTCTTTTTCATTCACATTTTTATTGTTAGCTTTAAATTATATATATGTATTACTATATATCGTAGTATATTTCCAAACAATTAGATTGTATGCAATTAAATCTTCTGTCACCATCAAAATGCTGTCCTGTTCTGCTCTGCTTTGTAATCCTATATATACATATATATAGGATATATATGTCAAACCCTTTTCGCTGGTAGTCAAAAACGTGATCTATTTGGTAATCGATTCGAGTGTGATCGGCCCTGGCCGAGATTAAATATGTATTTCTAAAGGCTATATGTAGGTATTTCGGGCTCTTTTCTTCTGCTTTTGTTCGGTTTAGTCGGATATATATATTGGTTGCCGTACTATATATGCTTCATTAGGATGTGTGTGCGTGGTTGGTTGTAAATCATGTCTTTTGGGTTTGCTGGTTGTTGGTTTTACTTTCTCGTATTAAACGTAAACGTCGTATTCATACATATATATATAGTAAGTGTACTTGTATATATCGTATTGTTAGGTATAAATATGCGTATTGTGTCACAGACACTACAAATGTCGCTTTGATTTCGGCTTGATTCGCTTCTAATTCAATTCAATTTGTTAATCCTTCAATTTAGTTAGTTACCTACACACACTCATTAAAAAGGTTCCTCTTCTTCAGCTCCTATCGCCTCCCCATCGAATATATATATCGTAGTACCTGGATGTCTCGTTTGCTTACACTGTATGTATTTCTTTAAGTTACTCTCTCATATGCTTTAAATATGCTTGCGGTTCGTTATTACGTTATTTTAGTTACGTTACTTTATTTTTGTTGGAATTGGTGCACTTCGGAGAAGCATTTTTGGTTTAATATAACTATGAGTTGTGGTACGATTCGAGGGTCCTCTGAATATCCAAAGGAGAGATGGTCCGCCAGTCGAGGCGACGGCTTGGCCACATTCAGCACAACCGTGTGTGGGTTATCTAAATATCTAAATACCTAGTCTAGTGCCCAGTCCCGTCAGCTCCTATTCATATAATTCAAATTACATAGTACATGCAAGGAAAATATAATAATAAGATAAGTAGTAAGCGAAATTTGGTTAAATACCTATCGCTCTCTTGTTGGCTTTTCTGGTCGCTACGCATCTTATTTTTATATTGTCCTTGGTATATCTCTTCCCTGTCCTTGTCGACCATCTCGACTGGGCCATCTCTCCGATATGGGGACCCCGATATCTATTGCTTGTGCTACTGCTGCTGCTGTTACTTCCATATTCTCTGGGTTTCTTAATTTTTTTTGTCTCTAGTTCGCCTCGTCAGTTACAAAAGGTTTGTTCGTAGTTGTTGAACCATGGTGGGTTACGTTCTTAATACATACAAATTATCGTTAGTTTATACATACATATATTCAGATATATTTTAGCGGTATGTGTCTACAAACTTGTTTGTTCTTCGCACGGCTGATGCTGGCTCTGTACTTTGTTACTTTTGTTACTTGGTTTCTACGCACATGTACAAAAAACTGATTCAAACTATCAAAAACGAGCAGTACAATCACAATATTCCCCCTACGATTAATATTTATATATATATAATATAATATATACCCCCAACCGACACAACGAAAATCGGAACGAGAACAGAACGATTCCATTGGTTGGCCAAGGTGCAACCTCCTCCCGAGATCCGCTGCGCTGCGATTCGTTGCCAGCGGAACTTATTCCTCTTCCTACTTTGAACTTGTATTAAAGCTTTTTTGGTTTCGTCCGACTCCTACAACAGCCTCCTGCCTCGCCGCCAACAACTTAAGCTAACTCATTTGCCATGTGTATAATAATATATATGTATATATATATATATGAATTCCAAATCGTAATCCATTATATTTGTATTAAATTCTTCTTGCATGGAGCATGTGCCTACCTAACAGTACATAATCGCCTAACAAAATGGAATCTGTCATCGCTTCTTAGCTTCTTTTTGCTTCTCTGGGGAACATGGCCAGGTGCTGGGAGGGCTGCCCCTTTTGGGAATTACTTTAAATCTAAAGATACCTAAATGAGATCTTTGGCATACTTGGAAGCAGTTGGTCGAACTTTATAGGTTGAACTTGGATTAGGAAAGAGAACTTAACCGTGGAAGGTACGATCTTCACCATGAAGTAACCCCCTTAGATAACTATAAACTAATCTAGTTTCCTTCAAACCTTTGTTCTAGCAAATCATTGCTGGGCAACCCTCCCGGAATTGGGAATATGCTTGATCTATATATATATATTTCTGTGTATAAAGTCGGGGGCTAGACATCAAAAAATCAGTACTGCTTGTCAATGGGTAATCACTAAGCGTAGTTTTGGTTTACTCGCCGCCGAACTTCTCCCTAAACTCCAATCTCAAGCCCGCACAACACTTATTGCAACTACTAGTAGCTAACCGGACTCTGGCCACTTGTCGGAGGAAGTGGTGAACATATATTAAGGTCTGGGGATATATATCTAGGGATATCTAGTTGTAGACGCCGCGCACCATGCCCTCGCGGTTGCGGGTGTGCCACTTGCAGGTGAGTATCCGGATGTAGGTCCTGCGGAAGGAGGCGTTGCACAGGGCATAGCACATGGGGTTGATCGTCGAGTTGATGTAGCACAGCGCGTAGAAGAAGTCCCACAGCTCCGTCGGTATGCAGTCGGAGCAGGTGGTCAGCGGCTTGATCAGCACCAGGATGTTGTACGGCGTCCACGTGATGATGAAACTGAGCAGGATGGCTGAGAGCGTCTTGGCCGCCTTTGACTCCTGCCGCTTCTCCTGCGATTTCTTCTTTTTCTTGGCTGCATTGCGGGCGTTCATGAGGGCGTGGGCCCCAGCCGCCCCGCCCACAACGCCCTTGCCCAACTGCTTGGGTATAACCTTGGCGTTGAGCAGCCTGGCATCGTGCTGGGCATGCGACATCCTTCGTCCGAGTGGCAGGCTGAACTCGGAGTCGCGCGAGGCCAATGGTCGTCGCGTGGTGGCCGGTGGCCCTGTCGCGTTGGCGTTCGGATTTCCGCCAACGGTCGATGATGGCCCATCCTCGTGTATCATCTTGATGGAGGGTGCACAGTCGCCTTGCAGGCTCAAGGATGTGGAGGCCGCTGCCGCCGACGCATTGGCCCCGTTGGCAGTGGCCGCATTGCTGGAGGCTCCGTCGGAGGGCAGCCGGATGAGTATCGTGTATACGGAATCCTGGCTCACCGACCGCGAGTTTATGCGATTGATCACGGGCAGTGTGCGTGTGTCGCGTGCCGTTGCGGCACTTCCGTTTCCGCCTCCGCCTGCACCGCCGCCGCCATTTCCATTCGCCGCTGTGCCAATGCCGTTTGCATTGTGGTTGTTGTTGTGATTGTTGTTGATGTTGCCATTGGAATTGGTGGCCATCGCACCCGGATTCACAATCGCCATTGCATTCGAATTCACATTCCCAGTGGCCGCACTCGCACTCGCATTCACATTCATTTCCTGCAGCTGCGAGATGGAGGCGAGCGGTGGGCGTGGCAGCGGCGTGGGCGAGACATCCGACAAGAGAATGCTGGGCGGTCGTACGCCGCTAACGCTGCCGCCCATCGAGTAGTTGTCCCGCATCACGTTCATCGAGGTGCATCTGCGTGGGAGAGGGGCGAGAAGGAAGCGAAAAACAGAAAGGATGTGGTTGGTATCGCATTTTAACACGCACACATATACACTTGCACAGAGCAACATAGATACATATATACATATATACAGAGTCAGAGATACAGAGATGCAGAGGCAGGCACACGCAGATACATTAGAGTGGACCACTCTGACACTGACAGGCAACGTAACGAAAGCTGACAACAAAAACAACAACGGCCCGGGGCCGAACTCAGGATGCAACTGCTCGTCTAACTGGCACACAAGGATGCACAGTGAGAAAAGGGTCCTTACAAAAATATTTACTATATCTTACATATATTTTGTAATATCCTTAGAGACTTGCAAAGGCTTCTTCTTCTATTAGTATTGTTTTTTAAGACTCTACTCCTTTTAAAAATCGTTTAGAAATATCCCATTGTTTTTTTCCAGTGCCTAAGGCACACACACACTGTTAAATGCGGTTGTGGTGACACACATCCCTGCGAAGTGCGTTTTGGAATGGAAACAAGTGGCCGGAAATCGCAACTCAAATCGATTACCCAGTCGAATGCCAGTGGCACACATAAATTGAAACAAGTCCAGCGGTCAAACAGTGTCACCCAAGCCCCAGATATATCTTTCAAATGCATTTTATTTAGGCGAAAATAGCCATATTTTCCTCATTAGCATACAAATTAGTATGCGGTTTCATTTGTAGATTCATCTGAAGCTCAATTTACGCTGATTCCTTTTAATTGTGTTTTAGCCTCAAACTGCATTTTTAGTAATTTATTCTAAAAGCCATTAATTTCAAACTACATTTGTGTTGATTATTCCTCTGAGATATATGACAAAATGTGCATATTAAAGTTTTTTTTGAAATTATTTCAGTTCATAAACTTGCCTCTTCCTTTAAGCATTTACTTTTTAATAAACTTCACTGGTTATAATAAAGCTCAATTGTCGAAAGTATTTCATAGAAAAGAGTGTTAACTTACTTTTATGGTTTCACTAACACAAAATTCATGTAAAATACTTTTTAACTAGAAATGAAAACTCTGAAAGTTTATATTTAGACAATGACCATTTTTTCACACTAAATGACTGTTTAGTTTTTCATATTTCGCTGTAAATAGCCTTTCCAAACCCTTAATGGCTGATAAACTTTTTATTTTAGTGTGCAAAAAAAAACCCTATAGAAATTTTGCACAAACCCATCATTAGCTTTTTTGCCCTGTTGATTTTTAGCTTTAAATAAGACCTTTCAACTCTGAAATGGCTTTTTAGTTACAAAATTTAAATGCAACAATGTGAATATTTCAAACAATAACTGCACTTGCCCTGCCTCAGTTGGGGCGTGAAGCCATCCCAACTGTAAACAAGACAATTTAAATGCAGAAAGGGCTTTAAGGGGCATTGAAAACAAAGCTGAAACTATCAGTTATCTAAATGCAATTTCATGAATTAATTAAAGCCAAAAGAATGAGCAAACTCTGGACTCCGCAGCACAATGCTGCCCAGCTCTTCGGACGTATGTAAGCCCCAATTAGTTTCCATCCAGGACACTCAGGACATCCAAACGGTGTGCGGGTGCTGGTGCTGGTGTGCTTGTGTTGCTGGTGCAGTGGTGCAAAGCCCTCCATCTACGTGGATTATTTGTGTGCTGGCTACTACGACTTTGATGGATTCGTGTGTGTGCGGATCGGGATGGGTGGTGGATGGTTGTGGGATTAATAGTGGGAGCGGTGGGAGTGATAAAGGACCTGCTGCAGTTTCCTGCGATGGATGGCCGTTGGCCAGTGAAGGATTTCGAGCTCTCTCACATTCCGTTTGCTGATAAACCTAAGCTTAAAAGTATTGCTGGCGGCTGTGTGTGTGCTTTTCGGTGAAAAGTGAAAGTGGAAAAGTGCTCTCTGGGTGCAATCGATGCGAATAAAACACGAATACAGGATACAGTGAGAGAGTGGGTGCGGTGTCGGCTTACTCGATATAGACGATTAAAGTTCAGAATTTTGATTGTTTTTACTACCTGGAGACGGAGCTTTGTAAAGGAGTTTCAATTGTTACTGGTGTTGCATACCCTAAATCAGACGGCTCCTCCTGTTCGTAGGCAAAGTCGTCGGAATCCTCGCGCCCGGAGTGCCACCACGCGATGCACCACTCCTTGATGCTGCCGAAGCAGGTGTATGACTTTTTGATTGTATTGGTGCTTTTGATCTGTGAGTCAAGTTAATTAATTATCAGGGAATCGTATAGCCTGCAAAACCTACGCTTGACTTTCGTGAATGCATCCCATGATAACCCGAGTCGATGACCATGTTGGTCATATAGACACTCTCCGCATCCGCCGAGCTCTCGGAGCGCGGCCGTCGCCAGGTGTCGTGGTCATTGCCGCCCATTTGCCCAAAGGCCAGCAGGCCGCCGGAAGCATGATTCACCACCGTGTTTTCGTCACTGAAAAATATAAATTAGAAAACGACTTAGCCTGGAATTATCCTAGTATTATTACCTGCTATTGGAACGCTTGCTGGAGTCCTTCTTGCCCGCCTGCAGATTGGGCAAATCCTTCTGCCGCTTCTTCGTCTCGCGCCAAATGCGCCAGTACAGGAAGCACATGATGGTCACCGGGAAGTAGAAGGCCGCCAGTGCCGTGCCAAATGTAATGTACTGATTCGTCTCAATGAACTGTATGTAGCACTCGTCCTTGGGCACTGTTCGCTTGCCTTCAATATATGGCCAGCTGTAGATCCAGGGCGGCCATAGGAGCAAACTAATACCCCAGGCAGCGCCTATCATCACAGCCGCTCGATTGGTTGTCCTCTTGGCGCGATATGTCAGCGGGCGCGTCACGCTGAAATAGCGATCGAAACTAATGATCAGCAGGTTTAGCACCGAGGCATTAGAGGCCAAATAGTCGAGGGCCAGCCACGTGTCGCAGACGATCGGTCCCAAAGGCCAATAGCCCAGAATGGTGGTCACCGCAAACAGCGGCATCGATATCGCACCGATGGCAAAGTCCGCAATGGCCAGCGAGAACAGGAAGTAGTTGCTGATCGTCTGCAGTTGCTTATCGATCTTAAAGGATATCATCACCATAACGTTGCCCGCCACTGTCACCGTGCTCAGAATCGCCGCCACGAAACCCATGACCACCATGGAGGCCAGTGAATACCGCGGTCCCTTCGTCTCAAAGCCCATGGTGCCGTTCGTTCCGTTGCCGTATCCAAACGGATCGTACATCCCGCTGGCTGCCGTCGTCGTCAGGTTCTCCAGCAGGGCTGTTAGCAGGGTGGTGCCTGTGGGTGATAGGCCCGCCGGACTGCTTGTCGTCGTCGTCGTGCTTGTCGTCGTGGTGGTGGTGGTCGTTGTGCTCGTGGTTGCGGTTTTAAACAGCGGCTCCAGTATGCTGGGCGGCCCGTGGGCGGCCAGTGCCAGACTCATCACCGGCTCCATGGCGGATACGTGATTTTATCTGCTTTGCAGCTGTAAGGATTATGATTCTCTTTCTCGCTCCCTATATCACTCTCTCTCTCTCTCTCTCTCTCTAAATCTCTTGGAAGCTCTCCCACTTGCTTGCTGTGTGTGTCGCGCTGGTCGTTTAGTTTGCTTTCATCCGCTGCTTATCCTTTTGGCTGCACCCACGCAAGGCGTTGGCCATTTCTCCTCCGGCCCTGCAAGCAATAAAAAAAATGGAGTGTCAAATATGGGAGTTAGGGGGAGGGCAAGGACAAGGGCGACTATGGAATGCTCTTAAGCAAATAAGGGTATACATGGTGGTTAGATAAACGTGGCTAATTCGAAGCTCAAGCTAATATTTAGGTTCCCTTGGACCGTGATTTATATTAGAAAAGGTAATATTTTCTGGCTTTTCCGACTTCATTTCTAAGAAACTCATATTAAAAGTATTTTTATATTATAGTGCCTTAAAGGAGATCTATTTATTTATTTTCTTATTGAAAATATAGTGTATTTTTTCCATTTCCTTAACTATTAATCTTTGATAATACTTCTTACCCCATTTCTATGTACTTTAATACCTTTGTAGCAATATTGCTCAATATCAGAAAACAAAGAACTAAACAAGCTTTCCATCACTCTTTTATAGTCAGCCTTTAAAAGTCTCATAACTAGTCGCCTTTATAGCCCCTCTCGAATATCAGTAATAAAGTAAAATAGGTGCTTACGACGAGGCCAGGAGTGGCAAAGTGGCGCCAAGGAAAATTATTAAATGTAGTTGATGGGGCAATGTACGCCGCAAAGTGTTGGTATCAGAGGAACCAAGTCAGAGTGCTCCTTCCGCGCTTAGCTAGAATCATTGTAAATAATTACCTAGATGAAGATTCCGCCGCAGATTAAAGCCGGATGCATCTCTAATTAAGATAAGTCATCGTAGACGGTTAGTACCGAAATATGCTTGTGGTGCCTAAGGACCGTGTAATCAGCTTAAGGACTCACAGCAATTGCATGTGGTTGTGGGTAAATGCAGTAATCCCGGAGCGGTGTTGTTGCACAGGGCCACGCGATTCCATTCCCAAATGGAAATGGCCAGACCAAACCCGGCGGATGGCAGCTATAAAAACAACGGACGAGAGGCAACGGCGAGATTTATGAGAAACTGTCCCCGTCACTGGCCTTTGATATATCTTTCCCTACATCTTCCCCTGGGCGGGTTTGGCGGCGAGGAATCGTGGGACAAGGAAGCGAAATAATATATTTACAATGCCAGGGGCCTGACTTGCTTTGTCCTTTCTGCAAAATGACATTTTCTGTGTGATTTGTTTTAATGGAAATGCGAATGTAAATGTGAGTCTCTGAGTGTAAATGAAAATGAAAATGAAAACGGCTTGAATGCGTTTCCTTGGCAGGCCGCCCCATTTCCATATCCATCTGCCTTTCCATTTCCAGCCACACCCACAACATTTGTTGTTCGTTTATTACTGTTGCCAACAATGGCAGTGGCAAAAACGTCACAAAAAAAAAGAAAAAAGAAAAAGAAATACCAACACAACGTGCAACAGTGTCGCAGTGGGAACTTGGCTCGAAGCTGAAAGCTACTGGCTCCGACACTTTGGCACGGAAATGTTCCAGGCGGCTTCCTCTGACACTTTTCAAAACTATTGATGTTGTCATTGGCCATATGCCTATACATATCGCCTTCATTTGGCAGCCATTGTGTGCGCGAAGACTTTGATTTGGAAAGTTCTCTGTTTAATGAAAAGCCACGTTACGCATACGCCATGGATGCCTGCCTGCCACCTGATTGATGGGCCATGATACTGGCCTGGTGAAATGAAGGGCCACAACGGACTGTACTGTCCGTGATTGATTCGCATTCAATAAGTGTAAAGTTATTGTGTGCCAGCTAGTCCATTGTCACTGGGATTTCATACAAATCGGGCCACATAAGGGTCAGGACACCAGAAAACTAAATTTCCCATCTAAGCGGATTTCATTTTTGGTTTCATTCAATTGTTGGGATTATTTTTAATTGCCCTTAAGGCTGCAATAAAAACCAAGCAAAGAGATGAGAGTTAAATTGAATAAAAGGCAATCAGAGAACAAAAATATTACGTATACATAATATTTTGCGTTGCAGTGATTTCAAGGTATTTTATTCATTGCATTGCCTACTTTTTAGGTTGTTCTAAGAGCTCTTTTAATTGAAAGCCCAAATTGTTTTTGAATTCTATTGAATTAATCAAATTTCTGGCATTCCCCTAGTGCATCCTCGTGGGATTCCACCGCATCGCAAATCGAGCAAATTAATTAACCAATTGTCGGTAAATGCATTGCATCGAAATCTCATATTTGCATACCGATATTGTAAATTCTGATGGCTTTCGGTACAAGTGTGCTATGATTGTGTAATTGACCTCATGTCGGGCTCAATCAGTGTTTCATTTCCATGGAATTTAGCTCGCTCTTGTTTTCAGGCTATTTGTGGAAAACCCACCAATCGATGCCCAATTAAATGCAGCGTTAACCAATAAATCAATCAAAATCCGTCTGTTTATCTCATTGAAAACACGCACACACGTATAAATCAATTGCAAAACAAGCTAACAAAAGGGGAGGGGCGCGTTGGGATGGGCCAAACCAATGGGGCGCCATAAATTGAGCCGACGTATCGTATTGACAAGAACAAAAACAACAACGGCTCCGGTGAATGGAGAGAGCAGAAACATTTCCAATAAATGAAAAACAAATCGCAGAAGTCAGGAGTAGCAGTCAGGCTGCCTGCCTATGTGAGCGAGTGAGTGGCGGTTATATCCTTGTAGTAAGATGTTTTTCCGAGAATGTATAGTTGCATCGTTACTTCCCGGCTACGTGATTTGAACCTACCTACGGTTGTTGTACCTTGCCCCTGTCCGTCTACCTTTGAGGCTAACTAGTTATTGAGTGTAGTCGGGTGGAGGTAACCGGATAGCTGTCTGCCGCATGTAACATTCAAATTTATCAGGCGACCGACCGACAGACCGACCGCTCCTTGGCAAATAATCGAATTGAGCTTCTTGTTGCCGTGCCTCGCTTTTTGGCTGCCATAAAAAAAGGATTTATGGATTTATTATCAAATGCGTCGGGCGAAAAACACAAGTAACCATATACGCATATACATATAGTCGTATGGTATGATGTTACACACACACCAGCACCCACAGGCTGAAAAGCGGCACCCGCACACACAACCTGCGACCCGCGCGGATTTGTTTTGCCATTTATTAGGCTATTTTTATGACACGGCCACGAGCCGGAGCCAGAGAGCCAGTGGAACGATGGAGTAAACACAGTAAGTAACCGCTAATCAAATCAGGGGCAGTAACTATATACCCAGACATATACCTATATCATGTATATTTATTTATTAAAAATGTATGCCAGGTGCGCGGAATTATGTTTTTCGCTGCTAACAGGCGACTCTTTGGCCATTTCATTAAATACACGTTTAGTGATTGCGAATCTGGCTTTTATCACAGCATTTGCTGCTAAATAAATGATTAGGCCATTTAATTAGCTGTACAATAGATAATTGTAAATTTCGCTTTATCGCAGGCTTACTGGCAATCAGGTGATACAGTTCTTACACGCTCCTAGCAACCGGCGATTAAATACCAACTGAAATATTTATTGATTGTTGGCTAATGGCGGCAGAAAGTTGCTTTCATTTGCTAATTAACTAATGCATAGGAATATAATTGCTGCTAATGAGAAATTCATGGGAATTGCAATTACTTGTGTAAGTCCTCAATAATGCATTCTATTAATTCCCCAATGCAGCTCCTGACACTTTGGCCGAACTTAAATTCTGTTTATTGCCTCTCGGCACAGGTGACGGAAACAATTATTTGACGAAGTTAATTGCTTGTTTCAGTTTACAATTTCGACAAAGTTTTAGGGGTCACAAGTATATATTATTAAATAATTCTTTCCTAGAAAATTAATTACAAATAGAAAATTACTAGGTGGCGTTTTTATGACGAAAGTCAAGAAAGAACTGGGAACTATTCGCTAGGCTATTATTCGCTTTCATTAAAAGTTTCTATGGTTTTAAAACCTTTTTCTACTCTTGGATTATGTCTCTTTTGAGTTTTGATAATCTATGTATACATAATATATTTTACTTTTTCCATCCCGCTACATGTCCATATCTCAAACAAATACTACAAATCAAGCTTTAAACACACTCTCTTCCTTTACAAGCCTTTTAATTGAACTTCTGTGCTTTTCTAGTAGCAAATAGGAGCTCAAAATTACACATATTTTCGCCCTTAGTCACTTGTCACTGTCTCTGCTCTGGGCTGCTGTGTGTATTTTTGATCAGCTCATCAACAGTCGGCTTTATTTTGCACTGGATATATTCGTTTATTCGCATTTTTGGGCCCTCGTTCTGGGTCGCCTGCTTTTATGCGGGCTCTGTCAACGCTCACTCACACGCTCAAACCCCTATTTGCACACACCCACGCACCTACACACACACACACACTCTTTGCAAAGAAAAAGAAAGGCCAACTAGCTGCATACTTTTGTGCGCCCTTCTGTGTCTTCTTTGCCTTTCCGCTCCTTTCCGTTCCTTTCCGCTGGCTTATGTTAATTTTTGCGCGAGTTTAATTGCTTGCCACATGGCTGCTGATGCCAAGCGGATGCTGTTAGATGCCTGCTGCCTGCTTTCTGCTGCTTTCGGCCCTTTCGAGCTGTCCGAGCCGAGAGCCGCCTTCGCTCTTACTTTTGCCTGGCTTGTTTGCGGAAATTGAATTGCTGGACGACGGGCCCTGGGTTTCACCTTATGCTAAGGGGCTGTCCGCTAAGCATATTGCCATGCGAAATGTGGACCGCACAGGGAGAAATTCAAGGCATCAATGGGTGCGAAGGATATCAAAGGTTCTTGGCTATTCTAGGATCTATAATTCTCAACTTTATAAATGATTTTTAATGAAAACTTGAAATATTATTAAAATAGTTACTGGAAAATAGTCCTTTCTACGGTATTTGCACCAAAGATTTTATTTTCAAAGTGAAGTAAATAACAATATTGATGAAAAAACTATACAAAATTGAATTTTAGGTTTTCAATGCTTGTGGCTAAGATAATTGTTTAAAAAAAACGAAGTTGAGAGTTAAATTATAAATAAACCATCTTTGGGGAAATCATTGTTTTGAAAAAGCCATCCCAGAACTTTTTAGGAAGTTTCCTATGGTGCAAATATCATGTACAAAAGCTAGTTTTAACATTTTAGAAAGTATGGCAAATATTTCAGGATTTTAAAGGACCTTCTGCAGCTTGTAACTAGTTTATGGTTACTGTTATTTTTTAGGGTTTTTTGCCGTGCAGGCTCCGCTGTGAGATTTTTGCGAGCTGGTGGGCGGTGGTCGGTGGTCCAGGGAGGGGGCGTTGGGACAGGGGAGGTGGCCTGAGCCGCGCCCCACCGACCTACTCACTCGCACAAAGTTTAATCAAAACGAGAGCACTGGAAACGGAGAAAGCAGCGCTGCCAACGCACGCATACACACTTACTTCGCTCTCTCTCGCTGTCGCTGTTGCCGCTCTCCGCTCTCCTTTGGCTTTTGCCCTCTTGCTCTAACCTATTGCTTATTTGTGCACGCTCAGCATCGGCTTCAGTTGTAACGGTGACATCGCTGTTGTTGTTGTTGTTTTTGGAGCTTTTGCTTTTGCCTTTGGCTTTGCTTTTGTTTTTGTTTTTGCTGATGCTGCTGCTGCTTCTTCCTCTGCTGCTGGCGCTGCTGCTCTGCTGTTGGTGTTGCTGTTTCTGTTGATTTTGGCCATTTGCCGCTCCCAAAAGTATGCTTTGTAATTTTTTGTATTGTGCGCGCACATCTTTGGCTCTGCTTTCTAGTCCTCCTCAGCTCCGCTTCGCTCCCCGCCCTGCTCCTGGTCCTGGTCCTGCTGCTGCTCCCCAGCTTCTTCGCCTCCGCGCTGAGCTGGCCTGCTCAATTCATTTCGCCTTTCGCCAATTTTATTATACACAATGCGAACTGCGACGCCGGCGTCGCTGCCGCTGCCCCGCTGCCACAGTCGGCGTCTACGCTGCGACGCTTTGCGTGCCCAAAGTTTCCACATTTAACATTGTAATCGGGTTTACTATTTTCGCCATATAGATAGATGATACACGCTAGAACTTTGCACACTTTTATTTATTAACTATTCTCTATTTTTTAATTATTCTCTCTCATTAATTATTGCTTTTAGAATTCACTTTACGGCTAGGTAATAAAAACAGTTAAGCGTTTGTGCACGCGTCTTAGCCTTCCGATTCGCTTCCCCTCTGCTTTTCTGGGATTTGTTTTTTTTTCGCGGCCAGAGAGAAGCTGTAGCGCACGTTGCTAAATCTCATCCGGGACTGAAACTGAAAATTTCAGTTAAGGTATATAACGGTATGACCGAAGAGAGACGAGCAACCAGGCAGCCGAGCCGCTTGCCGAAGAGCCGCCGAAGCTGCCGAGCCCAAAAAACGAACGGGAGAGCGAGCGCAAGATTCAGGATCCTTTTGTGCTGGAATTTGTGTTTGTTGGGCAACATGGCGAGCATCCTTTGGCGAACACCCTCACACAAAGGACATGTGCGTGCCTGTGTCAGTGTGTGGGTGGCGGAAAAGCGGAAAACTGCGCGCCTGCAGGAATGTCTCTGTGTGTGCGTTACGCTGCACAGCCGAAAATGTGCTGGCAGCGGAACTTAATGGATGAATATGAATGAAAACGCCGCAACAGTCCAACTGCAAAGGAGGTGAGGGAGCAGAGCAGCGGTTAGGGGATGTCCTGGGTGGTTAGTAACTTGAATGCACAGAAAAAAAACTAAGGGATACATTTAGAAAAAGAAAACAATCTAACAAGGAGGTGTCAGGTTGTCTATGTATATTGTTCTTATGTTTTAAAGTTTAATAGAGGCTTTAAATGGATACTACCTCAAGGATATCAAGGAATCAATAATTTATTACAATGTCCTTCTGAAGACTTATAAAACGTTAGGTATGTTGTACTTCCTTTAATTGAAATTAAAGATTTTATAATATTTAAAACCAAATATGGAGAATTTAAGTAAATTTCTTAAATTATATATACATTCTCAAGTTTCTTTAAAATTGCTTACTTGTAGATCCTTTAAAAACAATATAAAATACTGTCACCGTTCAGTAGGGAATAGATTTTACTCTGCGATAAAAAAAATACCCCCTTTTTCCGCGTGCAAATTCCAGGTGGCAAAGGCAAGTTCGCCACGAGGCCCACGGGCATTGCTCAAGCATGCTTGCCGTGCCATCTTTTGTAGCTTACGACTGCTCTGCGCGCTCTTCATCAGCAGCAAGAGCCGCAGCAACATCTACACCGGCAATGGCAACAGCAACATCTGCAGGCGGCAACACTAACAGCGGCAACATCAAGAGCCTGTGTCCGCGCTGGCTTTTCAATGGGACTCTGGGCGAATAAGTGTAGGGCGTTAGTGTGAGTGCCGCTGCGAGGGTGTTCGTGTGAAGTGGAAACGCTGGAAAAGCGCATTCTCACATTTCAATTAAATAATACCAGCAGCATAGCATAGTTCACAATTGCCAGTTCAATGGGCGTACTGGGCCAGGACCCAGGTCCTCTCGCTGGGGAATTTAGAAAGGAAAGAAAAAGAATGCCACAAAGAAATGTAAGCCACAAAAGGGGGCACTTAAATAAATGTTGAGTTTTTAACTGTTGGATTTTTATTATTCCCCCAAAAAATATATAACAGAGAGAACTGATTGCCAGGAGTGCCACAGAAATCTCAAGTGGTTAACAATTGCTAGTAGAAATATACATATTTTATAGGGACATATAAAGGGTTTCAAAGATTCTGGATCAATTACCATATATTTTACACATTATATAATAAAAAAGCTATTAAAACTTGTTTATATATAAAATAATATACCTACATATATGACTTTATGATGTTTATAGCTTACTTTATTCAACTCAAAATCTATACTCCTTTTCTTTCCGCTTGTTAACCCGTCCAAAGGGTCACCTTATGCAATTCCATATCCTTTTTTCGCAATATAACTTATCCCCAAAGTACCCCAAAGTATATTTTACCAAGAGCACACCTCATTTATTTCTTTAATTTCCTTAATTTGTTCTAAAACAATGCATAAAAATGATTACCAAGCCCGAAAATGTAATTACCTTACAGTACTCCGACTTCGAACCCTTTGCCAATTACAAACTGGTCCCTCAAGTGCCTTGGCTTTATTAATAGCAACTCATGTTGCGTTTAAACTGGACAACAATGGATCTAACGCGCCTGACATGGCACTGGCACTGGCAATGGCACTGACCCCCCACACAACCACACCCAACGTAACACACATCCCCCCGGCTGGGCGGGTGGCCCACATCACCCATCCAAATCCTGGCAACCGACAGGCCCGCACATCCCCTTGGGCATGGCATGTGTTAAGGTCTGCGGATACTTTCTATATGCTCGTCATACCATACACCATATATGATATAAAAATACATAAATGGACAATGCAAAAGGAAAGATGAGTAAGAGCTCTGTGCCGCTGGGAGGATGAGAGAGGCAGCGGAGGTTGGCCGGCATGGATTAGGGCGAGAATTGATTGCGAGTGGACTTGGGGAGTGGGTGTGGCTTTCCTAAGTTCCAAGAACTGGCGCTGCTGCAGTAAATGGCCAGAAATATCGAGTGCTGCTTGTTCTCCAGGCCAATGCATCCATCCATATGCTGGAATTTTGTACTGACACTGTCGAGGAAGCCGGAAAATTCTTCAAACTGCCTTCCCGCATCACCCATACGCACCGTTGACCATGTAATTGAAAGGCACAGCATGCCGCTGAACGAGAGGAGATGCCAAGCACAGTGGACAGATATTTTTGAGATGCCTTTGAGAGTTCAGAAATTTGCTCGTTTAGATTTTTGGTTGTGGCATGTTTTCGCCCGACATTCGAGCACAATTTCACTTTAACTATGCGGAGCAGAGTCGAGTTGAGTTACTGCAGTGAAGTTACTGGAAGTTTTGTCGGCAAACTTTTCCGTTTAATCTTGCTAAATTAAATTTATTTGTGCAGCAGATGAACGTATGCCTAAGAAATTTCTAAAATATAATCGCCAGGCCAGAGGCAAAGCCTTGAGTAATTCCCAACAAAACACCAATTCTTGTTGTCATTTTTCTATTGTTTTTTAATATTTTTTTTGTTGAATATTATTTTTGTTTAAATTAATATACATATATAGTATATATTTATATAAAATATATAAGCATAAACGTTTACAAATATAAATATCTTTTATCGTTACCCGACGGCCTCTCATTATCCATATCTCCATATCTTCTACGTCTTCTCACACAATTTGCTTTATGGAATCCCAAACATCTCACATATATTTCTCCAACTTTTGCTAAACTTTCCCGTGAATGCTGCTCTGTCTCTAAGCGTCTGCGTGTCTGTCTGTGTGTGTGTGTTGCATAGTTAAGATACTTTTATAGATATATTTACAATAGCGATAAGGTCAACAAAAAAACTATTTGTTTGGTGTACGTATATATGTGTGTCCAGTTGTTTTACGGGAGTGTGTGTTGTGTTGTGTTAAACATAGATAAATATTAAGTAGATTTAATTCTGCTCGTGCACATATAACACATTTAATACCTAGCTATATACATGGCTGCATGTATAATCGTAGATATGGTGACATTTCAACGCAGATCGATAGACATGTACAAGAGTAATAATAATAATAATAATAATAGAACAATAGGCTAACATACACACTGCATGATAATAAAATTAAACTTATGCATTAGGCTTTTACGACACAAAAAAACTTAAGCTTGACCCGACGCGCTCACATACATATACATGTCCATCTAAAATATATACCCTCCTCTATATATATATATGTATATATATATATATATATATATGTATAATAGGCAAAGGCAGGGGCGCTCATTCGCCGGCGGAAGCCTTAATGGATGGCTGACAATTGTTTTGTTTCATATTCTGTTCAAAGCTGTCGTAGCTGCTGCCGTTGCAGTTTCCTTTGTTTGCCTCTTCGACAGCAGGAGGCAGGCACCCTCGCTCACCCCTCGGAATAGGAGCTGAGGCTGCTGCGCGTCGAGCCCGTAAAGTGATCCCGCTGCAGCGTATCCGAGGGCATGGAGACAATCAAAGCGCCGCCATACAGGGTTTCCATCTCGTCGAGCTGCTGGGCGAATGTCTCCTCCAGGCGCTAATTCAGAGAATGATTAACATTAGTAGGTAGAGGTTAAACCAAAGGTTTTTTACATAGAAACAACATTCAATCTGACAATATCAAGTTAGAGAGATGGGATATAGAGCTGTATATAGCGCATGCATTAGTAAGGACATTTAGAGAGCTGGAGAGTAACTATAATACACAGTACATTTCCCTTTTGGCAGGGAAACACACTGGGGATAGATCAAAGGACTAACCTCTTGTTGCAGCCGCTGCTGTAGTTGCTTTACACATTACGAGAAGAGGAGGAGGAGAGCCGGCAAGAAAAGTTTTTGGATACAGATTTTTGTTGGTTTTGGTTTTTTTTTTTTTTGTTTTTTCAATAGCAGCGCGTTGTAGTGTGTGTGTGTTTATATGTAAGAGTGGGTGTGTGTACAGTGAAGCATCATGAAAATTGCGATATGATTATAAGTATATATATTTATGTTCGTATTTAAGTATGTTTAGAGTAAGATATGGCTACACAAATGCTTGGCATGTGGCTAAGAATGGAATGTTCTTGATTATATTCTTTATTATTCTCTTTTTTTCTCGTTTCATTTGGTTACTAAGTACTTTGATAATACTGCTAAAATGGAATGCATTTGGAGGCGGAGGGCTGGTCCAAGTCAAGGGAATACTTTAATTTAATTAAAATTAGGCAAACACAAGTACTAAATCCACTTTCGTTCAATATATAGTAAGACTTGCGATTCCAACGGACAAAAATAATCAACTTTGGCAAGACAGAGTGTGTGTGTATGCATGGCAATTTCCGATGCAGAGCAGTAAAAGGTGAGAAAGCTGTACAAATTGGGTTAGCAAGATGATATGTGGGACTCTACGGTAGTTAGCCAGCACCAAGCGAGGAATGAAAGCGGTTTCTTGATTCAGTGTCAGTAGGTGTGAGTATAGGCGTTTGATTGCTGGTTGGGTTAGTGGTTAGTAGCTGCGGTGCATGCAGGAGACTGGCTGGCAAGTGCTGATCATTATGATCCGTGATTGTCCCTCCTAGATGGCCGACGAGTCCTCCTCGCAGCTGTGCTGTCGCTGGTTCACCCTCGGCAGCCTGTACTTGGCCGCGTACAGATCGTAGTAGAAATCATCGGAAGACGAGGCCGCCGAATCCGCCGACACCACGCTTCCATTGAGCCGGCTGTGTCCCGGCTTTACGGAGGATCTTAGCTGCGGTTGCACCTCATCCAGCAAGGCGGCTGCTTTGCGTCCCGAGTCGAAGATCAGGTCCGCATCGCTGGTAAACCGAGTGGTCAGCTCGTTAATGTTGTACATCGACTGGGCACTGCTCAGCGAGGATCGTCCGCTACTCCGGCTGGCCACCGAGGGTCGCTTAATCGCAAACGAGGTGGAGTGCAGCAGGCGCTGAGTGTGCGCGGTCAGCACTGGTCCTTCGCGGATACGCAGCTCTACGCTGGCCTCCGTCGCTGCCTTGGCATCCAGGCAGCTGAATCGATTGCTCACCAGACCCAGATCATCTGGGGTCCTCGGTGATGTACTGCTGGCCCGAAAAGTGCTCATTGCTGGCTTGGAGCTAGCATCCTCGGCGCTGTTTATGGGCGGAGTAGTAGTCACTACCTTGACAAGCTCGTTGGCCGGCAGTTGGGTGATCAGACGCAACTGGTTCTGGGCCGGAAGTGTCGTCACACTGGCACGCTTCATCTGCTCGGCCAGCAGCTGCTCCTCGTCCTCCTCCAGCACATAATCACTGATCATCTGCGATCGCTGCTGCTTGTGCAGGATGGGCGTACTGGGCACACTGCGACTGAGATCCGGAGCGGAGCCACGGAAATTGGATAGTCTGCTGCCGGAGCCGCTGCCACCCATCATCAGAAGCGAGGAACGGGAGCGGGGCATGTGCTGCGGATCGATGAAGGTGTTGCGGGGCAGCAGGCGGGAGGAGCGGTCGCTGTAGATGCCGCGCAGCCGCACCGGAAGCTCCACCTCCTGGTCCTCGAACTCCTCCCGATTGGCCACCAGGCCATAGCGCTTCTCGTGCTGATCGATGGCCGTCGCGATCAATTGGTTCAGCCGCTACGCTCGTTACGAGGGGGTTGTTGTTAACACACATGCATGACCAAGTCCGTTGATTGGTTTTTTTGTATTTTTTGGTTAGTAGTTGGGAAGCACAGCGGTAAGCATTTGGTTTTTGTTTTGTTTAATTATTTATCAGTTATCAATTATCGGTTTTTCGTATTTTTTTTTTTTTTGTTTAGTTTTGTAGGTAGTAGTAGGTACAGTAGGCCACCAAAGTGAATGCATTTGCGTGGGTGTAAAGAGAGAGAAAAAGTTGAAAAAATAATTGGATTTAGTTGAGCCTTGGTTCCACCACCCAGCTGTAGCAGCTTAGAGATGAGCGTCAGTCTTTGTCTTAGTTCTCCCTCGTATCAGCAAGTACCCGTAATTCAAAATAGATTACACTTGACTGGACAATGATTCACTGTCTCTACTTCACACAAATTAATGAGTCAGTCCATCTATTGATCGTATGACAACAGCTCACAATGTGAGCAAAAGCAATTAAAATACAAAGTTAAAGTAAATTTTTTGAGATATTGCTCATCTGTAAGCCACACACAACCTTGGGGGAACGGGAAGGGTTTCGTTTTTAGGGGGGAGAGGCTAGCACATGACACCATAGTTCACCGTAAACCAATCAATATACAATATACAATATATATCATTACCAACTTGTATCAACCGAGTTGATCTACTTTGTACATTAAGGAGGTATAAAAAAAAAAACACAAAACACCAACGAAATAAGGCGAATCTCAAGGGGTTCCTGCTGCTCATACACACCTGTTTGCGGGGCACCAACTGTTCGCGCCACTCGCGCAGCTCGGCCTTGAGTCGCTCATCAATCTCGGCCAGCTTGGCATGTTCGTGCTCCACCAGAGCCTTGCGCTTCTCGTTCTGGAGTTGCTCCAGTTCCCTGTAAATGAAATTTATTGAATTTCTTCACCCTTCAAGAGGTTATCCCACTCACCTTATGGCGCTCTCGCGGGTGGCGCGCAGCTCCTCCAATTGCTTTTGATGCTTGACCTCGAAGCGGCGCTCCTCCTGCATGTAGCGCTTCTTCTCCTGCTCCTGGAACTGCATTTGAAATCGGAATAAGTTTCAATCTACATTTGTTTGCTTAATTTTTTCACCTTCTTCAAGCGATCACGTTCAATCTCGGGGTCCAGGTTAGTGGATATGCGCAAGGATTCGCGGAACATGAGGTCGCGTGCCTTGCGCTCCGCCCGGATACGCTTGGGCAGGGCCCGCTTCTCAAGCGTCTGCTTCTTCACCAGATCCTCCTCCTTGCGCTGTAACATGCGCTTCACCTGGTCCAGCTCCTTCTCGTGCCGGATAATCATCTGGTGGCGCTGCATGAAGCAGAGCTCCTTAACATGCCGCTTGGACAGCTGGTGGCGTTCGTGCAGCTGTTTCTCCTCCAGCTCCCAGAGCAGGGCCTCGCGCGTTCGCATGGCATTCTGCTTTTGCTGCAGGAAGTTGCGATTGATGGTGGCCAGATGGTCGCGATGCTTCTCGCTGAGTCTCCTCAGCAGGAGCTCATGCCGCTCCTTCAGCGAGTCCAGAAAGGCGCGCTCCTTCTCCTCGTGATCCAGCTCCATGGCCGAGCGGCGCTGCTTGAACTCATCCTTGCGCTTGTCCTTGGGGAACAGGTCGACCTCCTGCTTCAACAGCCGAATTTCCTGCTTGAGGTTCTCGCGGAAGATCTTCAGCTCCTGCTCCTGCTCGGAGCGGATGCGCTTGGACGAAGAGCGTAGCTCGTTCTCCTGCGTCTGCTCAGTCTTCTCCACCAGCTGCTTGTGCTGGCGCGCCAGCATGTCCATGTCCGCCTCGTATGTCTTCTCCAGCGACGTGCGCTCCTGCTCGAAGCGGCGATCCTGCTGCTCCTTGGCCTGCTGCTCCTTCGTGTGTAGCTCCGTCTGCTGCTTCTTCTCCTGCTTCTGCAGCATCTTCAGTTCACGCAGCTCCTGCTTACGGAAGTCGTGGTCATCGTAGATCCGTCCATTCTCCTCGTCGCCGTAGATCACCCGGCTCGTGGTGGTGGTCATCTGTACGCCATCGATCTCGAACTTGCGCGTGCGCTTGCGAGTCTTCTTCCGCAGATTGCGCAGCTCAATCTCTTCCTTCGTAAGCCCTTGCGCGTTAACCGACTTAACCACGGGCGGAACTCTCGCCTTGGGCCGGATCACCACTTCTTCCTCCTCATCGATGGTCATGTGATTGTGGTTATTCGTTACCGAAGGCGGCGGCGGAGGCATGAGCACGGCAGCTGGTGGCTGCTGCTGCTGTTGCTGCTGCTTGTTGTTGTGATCCACCTCGTGACGGCTGTCCTGACTAGTGTTGGTGCCAATGCTGTCCACGTCGGAGCCAACGCTGCCGCTCACTTGCACCTCAATGCCCCGACGTCCGCGCATCGACCCATTCTCGCTCAGCGAGCTGTCCGGCGAACGCTTCTCCTGCTTGAACCGGTTCACGATAATATTAACGTCCTCGGGCACAATGCCAAGTCCGTTTGGCTGTCGTTTTCCCAGCTCGTTGCTGCTGTCCTTCACCTTGATCTCCTCATCGCCGACGGTTACCACGGACACATGACTGGTGTCCATCAGATGATCGCTGTGATCGTGGCTGTGACTGCCAGAGGCCGTGTTATAGGCAGAATCATCATCCGCGTATGAGGGGCTTACAATGAGCACCTCACTTTCGTCCAGCTTGCGGGCGTGGACAGTGGATGACGTTTGCGGCTGGGGCGGTGGAACGGGAACCACTCCTGCCGGGTCATTGACGGCCAATATCATGGAAGATTGCTTGTGGGGCGGCGTGCTGGCATCGCCCAAACTGTCGTCCAACGAGGGGAAGTCATCATCCGTCGAGGACTCGTGCAAGTGCGTGCTCTTGTTCAGATCGTTGGACACAATGATCACCTCGCTCTGCAGCTGTGGCTGTGGCGGCACCACTGAGTTGTCGATAATCACCGGTGGATGAGTGCTGGTGACCACAGTGATCTGACTCACGGACTCCAGGCTGTTTGGCAACACCACATGCTGTGGCTGCAACTGATGCTGCTGATGCTGTGGTGTCGGCGCATCGCTGTTGATCGTAATCAAGGATGTACTCGAGCTCAGGACTGCGTTGGAAATGCTGCCTGAGGAGCTGGACGAGGCCACCGATTGCACGGAGACAATGGACGAGGCGGTGGGCGAGGGCGGCTGCGGTTTCTGCTCCGCCGCCTCTTGGCCAATGGCCACCTCAATGGCTGTGGTGGCGGGTTCGGGTGAGGCCAATTTCTGGGCCGGTTGCTTTGAATTTGTAATGCCCAAGGGTGACGGTGGTGGCGGCGCCTTACCCTTTTCCTTTTTGACAAAGTGCTTAACATATAAAGGATTATTATTATTCTTGATTTGGTAAAATGAAAAGCAAAAGAGTGAAAAATACCTTCTTGTCGGACTCGGTTTTTTCAGCTGCTTCCGTGACAGGTGCCACAGCAGCTGCTGCTGCTGCTGCTGGCGGAGTTGGTGGCTGCTGGACTTGTGGTGGAGGCGTTTGCTGGGGCGAAGGCGGCGCTGGAGCAGGCACTTTGGTATGCTGCTGCGGCTGCTGTACTGCCGCTTCAGCATTGTCATCCTTTGTGTGGTTTGGTCTGTCCGGAGTGGTGGCTTTAGTGGTTGCTGCTGCAGTGGCCGCTGCTGCGATTGGTAAACTGCTACTTGGTTGGGACTGCTCTTTGGCATCCCGCAAAATGGATGTAGGTGTACCTGGAACTGTTGATCCACAAAAATAGCAAAGTTTAGTGCCTGAAAATATAGATTTAATAGCGGAATAGACTTACGTTTGTCAATGTCTTGGCTCTGCAGCGAAGCAGAGTCATCGTCCAGGTCGAGCTGGAGCGCCGAGTTGCGGGGTTCCTGTGTGAGTGAAGAAGCGGGAAATCCCCGATTAGTAACAAAATCATTTCAAGTGCTTCCTAATACAGCTGTTCAGCTAGCTTTGCTACTTGGATCTAACTACTTCAGCAGAGTCTTGGAAGTTCTTCGGATGCCCGAGAAAAGTGACAAGTAATTGCTATTCTTTAAACATCGAAGCGTGATTGTTGAACATTATTTGCAAATTCCATCTGTTATTATTGCCCCACAAACTATATCTGGGTCCTGATCTAAGAGACATTGATAGCGCAAAAGACACACAGTTGTCAGCCTAACACACAGGGTATGTGTAAAAGTGTGCTTGCTATAATTACCACAAGAAACTGATAGCAGCGGAAAGGCTTTACATACACAACATATATATACACAATACTAAGAGGAATGCCTCGTCGTGATAAGCAGCATTTGGCAATGCTGATAAAAATAAGTAAACTAATTGTGGAGGGCCTGCTATCGGAGTGCCGGGGATGCAGTGCCGGACGGGTTGGTTGGAGCGGGGTAGTGCCTGGTGGCAGGAACGGACGGAGCGGGCTAGACGGGTTGCTGTAGAACGACTTACCAACCCTCTGATAGAGAGAACGCCGCTTCACTTGGCGCTTAAGCTTCTATATCAATTATTTTCCAAGTAACCACATACGAAAATGATAAGCACAAACATTGCGACACAACACAAAATAAGAAACAATATAGAACCAAATATAACGCAAGGCGGAGAATAAACCAAGATAAAAGTATAAGAATAATTTATCGCACGGTGCCAGATTTTGATTTTTTTTTTTTTGGTTGGGTTGAGAGGCGGCAGCGTGTAAGAGAGAAGAGAGAGCAGTTGGAGAGGTGAGAGAACGTTGAGATTATCATCACATCTAGCGATTGGACTACTTGGGTGCAGTGTAGGGCACAGAGATTGAAGTTGGCAATGGAAACACACACTCACCTCGGCCTCATCGTCCACCACTTCCTCCACGACCTCGGCTTTGTACTCGAGCAGCAGGTCCCTGATGGGCTTTGCATCTAAATCCCTGCTGATGAAGCTGTGCTGCAGCAGCACATCCGTTGTGGGCCTCATTTGCGGATCCTGTTGATACGAAAATAAACATTTTAGTGTGGCAAAGTGAAAGTAAAATAGCCAACTTTTTACTTTGACTAAAGACTTCTTGAGGAAATCATTGAACTCCTTGCTCCACCTGGTCGGCTGCTCCAGCTTGGGCGGCTCGCTCTTCTGAATCTTGAGGAGCACGCGCATGGGCGACATCTCGCTGTTGGGCGGCTCCATCTGGGCCAGCTCGATGAGCGTGATGCCCAATGACCAGACGTCCACTTTGTGATCGTACGGATTGTCCCGGAACGTTTCGCAGAGCACCAGCTCCGGCGCCATCCAGTAGGGAGTGCCAATGAAGGTGTCGTGCTTCTGCATTGTGTGCTTATTCTTGGCCGAGACACCAAAGTCGGCTAAATGGAAGGAAATCCTCTATGAAGCATAATTCGAATTGGAGAAAAGAAAAACTTACCCAGCTTGACGCCGCCCTCCATGGTAAGCAGGACATTGCCGGCCTTTAAATCGCGATGGATGACCTTGTTCCGGTGCAGAAAGGTGAGACCCTCGGTCATGTGCTTGCAGACGTAGGCAATTTGCGGCTCAGTCAGTGGCTTCTCCAGCTCCACCATGATGCTGTCCAGGGCCCCACCATCGCAGTACTCGATGAGCATCTGGTGGGAATCACAGGAAGGTTACTCTGCTGCCTAACTGAGAACCAATTGACAATTACTCACCCAGAGCTTATCATCGATGGAGAAGGCCTCGTACAGCTCCACCACGTTGGGGTGCTTGATCTCGGAGAGAATATCGATTTCGACCATGTGATCGCTAAGATTCTCCTCATCCTCCAGCTGGCACATCTTGGCGGCGGCGAAGCGCTTCTGCTCTCTGTGCTGGGCCTTGTACACCTTGCCGAAGGCTCCGTCGCCCAGCTCGCCGACCATTTCCCAGACCTCCGCCGGATCGGTGTCCATCTTGATGTTATTGAACAGCCGCTTCTTTTTGGCCTCACCCCCGCCGAGGTGGAAGACCTTCTTTAGGTTGGTGATGAACGACATGGCGGTGGTGTGTGGTGTCTCTTTCTGTAGATTTCCCCTGCTGCTGTTTGCTCAGTCTGGCTTCTACATAGCTGAGCTCCTGGGCGAGAGTCCAACCAGGAAAACTAGATTTGGTGAAAGCTGCGGGGCGACGACACATTGGACATTGGCGAGTGGTTATTGATTGGTTTTTGCACCAGCACCAGCAGCGGTAGAAGTAGAGTTGGCAGGGTTTCAAGTCCGGGGGAGCAGTAAGCCCCGTAAGCGTAACGTAACGAAACTATTCCGTAGCCCAGTTTAAACTACACTCACCTATTAGCCGTTGCTTTTGACACTCTCTCCTCCTCGCCTTTCAGAGCGTTCCGCATTCAGTGTTTAGTGTTTAGTGCGCTCTTCCAGCGAAAATGGGCCAACGAGCGGGGATTGTGGGCTTGGTTGGGATTCCGCCGTTGTCGTCGTCGTCTTCGCAGTCTTTAACGCTTCTGTATGTTTTATAATTTAATTAGCAGCTCGCGAGCTCTAATATTTGTAGAAAAAACACGTACGAATGGGAGGAAAATGATTACAAACGAGAAAAAGTCAAAGACGTAGACAAAAGAGCGTAGCTCTGCCCGCGTCCATGTATGAGTGCGCGCGTGTGTGTGTCGTCGTTCTCTAAGTATTTGTGAGCTGGTCTCTGGGCTTTTACAGTCCCCCCTCTCCCTTCACAAATGAACGAACTATCCCCACTGTATTTTTTGGCCGAAATCTCAGCGAAACTTGGAAGCCTTCGAGAGGCCAGTTTGCAAATAAATTTAGCGGCCACACGGCGCCTTGAATCGCACAATGCAGGCCCGGAATTTGTAAACAACACGCGCACGAATCCGAGTTTAAAGTGGACGCAGCAGCACAGGCACAGCGCTCACTGCGGAGCGACTCATTGATGATTACGAGCGGCAGTGGCGGCGACGGCGATGGGCGTGAAACTGTAGACGCACGCAGCCAGGGAATTACCTCATCCGCACCTCATTCACCAGTTGTCTCCTGATATCAGGTGCTGCGCCTAACGATCGCAGTTGTTGTTTTGGCCTTTTTGCCTGCCGCCCGCACCCTTTCGCCAGCGATAAAAACGTATTTTCCCCGAACGGCCGAACGCGCAGCTAAGCAATTTGTAATTTCTCTCGCGCCCGGTGCTGCCAACCCGCCGCTATCGCGCTCAAAAATGGCGTTTGGGTCATCTGGCAGCCCTGTGTGCGAGGAGAGCGGCACGATGGGTTGCCTTCGCCAAGGGCAAAAACAGAAACAACACACACTAGCACACACTCGAACACGCACGCAGGCGGAAAAGATGATTAATTCCGCAGTGAGCGGCTATTTACATTTATAATAGGCCGTTGTGCTACAGTTGCAGCCTCACTGTTTGTTGATTTTCCCACTTTCCAACTGTTTGCACGGCGTTTTCTTCATGATTTTTCCACTGGAGATTTGCGCACCGGTGTGACCGCGACTCGACCGTTAAAAAATACCAATTGGCTGCGCCACAAATATACCACGAAGAACAAGGGTTGCGTGTTTGTTCGTGTCACGAAAATAACGAAAATCAAATTTATTTTTGATCTTATTTTTAAATTTTACTGTAATAAATGCAGCCGGAATTAATAATTAAACAGAGTTTAAGTTACCCAGATTCAAGATGCAATATTTTTTATATCAACATTTTTCTCGTGAATTGAATAAGTCATTTCAGACCCAATAAACCATATATATTCTCGATCAGCCAAAGGGAAAAAAAATGTTGCAATTTTGTTTAAAAAATGTATAAACGGTTAAACCGTTCAAATTGAGAAATCTATTGATGTCAGCTTTCTTTTTCATTACATTCTACATTTATGGCACAAACCCAGATGCGATCCTAGTGGAAACGGGCCATTAAAAAAGACCATCTTTTACAGTATATTTTAAAAATGCCACGGCTTACCGTAACAGGCGAGCTACGGTCACACTGTAAGAAACGTTTCTGCTTGTCATTTTGCTCTCAATTTTTGCCGCAAAACGCTACGAATTTCGCGAAATATATAATCGCCAGGCAGTAAACTCCCTCGAAATCACAGAGCAGCCTGGCACCTAGCAAGCGGTGCACACATTATAGGAGTTCCCCAACCGAAAATCGAGAAAAACAACAAACATGCCGTCGCTGGAGGTGAGCGTAAACAAAGTGATAGTGCATCCGCTGGTCCTGCTGTCCGTGGTGGATCACTTCAATCGCATGGGAAAGATTGGCAACCAGAAGCGCGTCGTGGGCGTCCTTCTGGGCTGCTGGCGTTCTAAGGGCGTGCTAGACGTCTCCAACAGCTTTGCAGGTTAGTACATGGTCCAGTCGGAGGTGAAACAAAGACTAGAGATTCCTTCCTATTTGCAGTGCCGTTTGATGAGGATGACAAGGACAAGTCAGTGTGGTTCCTGGACCACGACTACCTGGAGAACATGTATGGCATGTTCAAGAAGGTTAACGCCAGGGAGCGCGTCGTGGGCTGGTACCACACGGGTCCCAAGCTCCACCAGAACGACATTGCCATCAATGAGCTCATCCGCCGCTACTGCCCCAACTCCGTGCTGGTGATCATCGACGCAAAGCCCAAGGACCTGGGCCTGCCCACCGAGGCGTACATATCCGTGGAGGAGGTCCATGACGATGGCTCGCCCACCAGCAAGACCTTCGAACACGTGCCCAGCGAGATCGGTGCCGAGGAGGCTGAGGAAGTGGGCGTAGAGCATCTGCTGCGAGACATCAAGGACACCACGGTGGGCAGCCTCTCGCAGAAGATCACCAACCAGCTGATGGGTCTCAAGGGCTTGAACGCCCAGCTGCGCGACATCAAGCAGTATCTGCAGCGCGTGGGCGACGGCAAGATGCCCATCAATCACCAGATTGTGTACCAGCTGCAGGATATCTTCAACCTGCTGCCGGACATCACCAACGACCAGTTCACCGGCACCATGTACGTGAAGACCAACGACCAGATGCTGGTCGTCTATCTGGCCTCCATGGTGCGTTCGATCATTGCGCTGCATAACCTGATCAACAACAAGCTGGCGAATCGCGACGCCGAGGAGGGCAAGAGCGACAGCAAGGATGCCAAGGAGAAGAATAAGGAGAGCAAGGATAAGGACAACAAGGAGACCAAGGATGGCAAGAAGACGGAGGAGAAGGCCGACAAGGGCAAGGACGAGGGCAGCAAGGGGTCCCGGAAATAGGAGCGGAAGAAGAAGCGCAAGCCTCGTCGGAAGCGAAAGAAGCAGACGCCGCCGGATTAGCTGCTGCCTCCGATCCGTAGGAACCGGGACCAGCGGCCTCCAAAATATACAGCGTCTCTACACTCGGCGTGGGTGTGCGCAATGGCCTCCGAAAATCAAACATTGCTCCCATTCATCCATCCCATGAATTCAAGCTCCCTGTTTATTATTTCGCCAGCTACGCGTAACTAACTAACGGCAAGTTTATGTAATTAAAAATTAAATAATTTAAATGGTGTGGTTTTGGTAAGGGGGATTTTAAGGATACAAGTTAGAGAGCATTAAATTCTCCTAAGAACTAAGTTAGGAAAACATAATGGAAGTAGAAAACTCTTATGATTTAGGTTTTCCCATTTCCCACTCAAAAAAACCACATTCTTTTTTGTTTCTTATTTCGTAAAACCGAAATTATATATTTAATTAAAAACCAAATCAACGAGCACACAGGAAAAGCAATGTAAATGGCTGCTTACGATTGCCTTTCCCAGCATGCGGGAAATGTGTGTGTGTGAGTAATGCATTGTACAGGGCGTTATCTCTATCGTAGAGCAGTTATTACTTAGAAAGCATTTTACCAAATTTCACTTCACTTACAGCTGAGCTAGTTAACGCTTACGAACTAAGGCTACTGCCCCTGAAGGCTGGACAACTAGAATACTTAGGTTCACTATGTGTGCTTGCGAAGCAATCAAACTAGATTAAACGTTGAGTTCCTCGGCCTTTGCGTGCCATTCATAGGGAGTCCTGCAAAATGGCTGCTATGCAGGACTCCCAGCAGAAGGGCTCTCCCTTAGACCAGCCACTCGCTGGCCAGCGGGAACTTGAGCGGCTGGCAGCTGCTGAGTCTCAGCGAGCAGTTATTGTCCTCGGCAGCAAGTGGCATCCTTGTGGTCGCCATGGGATTGCTCTGCACCGAGCAGAGGCTTAAACTATGGCTATGCGACTGCCTAAGACTAGCACTAATGATATCGCTGCTGATCCGATGCTGATACTGTGGCTGATACCGGCTACTACGGTTCTGAGGCGGATCCCCCGGCGGCAGCGGGAAGCTGTGGTTGCAGTTGCAGTTGAGATTGTTTGTGTGGAGAACGTCGGCCCCTGAGGTTGTTGGTGACAAGCTGTTGTTGCTGCTGCAGTTGAGGTTGTAGATCTTGATGCTGGTGCAGCTGGTGCGGATGTTGAGGTGGACCTGGGCGTGGTCATGTCACACCGAGGTGCCCTGCTGGCCGGGCACCACCGATCCGCAGCTGTCGTCCGGCTTGAAAGACTCCTGCAACCGCTGCCGACAGCCGCCCTTTGAGGCAAAGAAGAACTTGTAGATGATGTACATGGGGATGCACAGCACCGAGGAGCAGGTGACGGCCCAGCCCACCTGGAAGCTCCAGTCGGGGTAATAGTATTCCTCGCCAAGCATCTCCTTGTAGCCCAATATGGAGAAGATGAAGATGGTCTGTCAGGGGGAGAATTGGTAATGAAATTTGTATTTTTGTTAAGTTCTTGATTATAGCTAACCAGCAGGAACACGGGACTAATGTAGGTCCAGCAGATGCGCCAGAAGAGGCCAGGCTTGGAGCCCAGCATCTGCTCCACATCGGAGCTGAAGCGATCTACGCCGTAGAACCAAAAAACTCCAGCGGCCTCGACAAAGACCACAAAAAGAATGGCCAAGCCGGGTCCATAGACATTCAGGAAGTTGACCAGCACCACGCCGCCCTGAAAGGAGAGGAATATATATATTTTATAAATATTTAATTTATATTTTATTAGCTCAGCTTAATCATCTCTTGGTTTTCTTAATATTTTCAAAAAAAAAAACATTTTCAGAGTCCTTTGATAACACCTTGAACCACTCCGAAGGGAGATCTCCATTTAAACTGGCACTGATTAATGGATGACGGCTGAGTTATTGAATAGCTTGATCCCTAGACCGATACTGGTCACTCCGAGTGGCCAAGTGACCAGGACAGGCAGAAATAAAGAAGGCAGCAAATTACAATTTTAAATGTAATCAGATAAAGTGGCAGGAGGAAGACCAGACTCGCTGCCAGCCAAGTGTTTGAACGTCGCAGCAACAGGAGCAGCAGCCACTAGCAACATGTCGGTGGATGTTTGGCCAGGTGAAAGGCAAACAAGCCCACTGCTCTTGACAGGTGATAAAAATGCAGGAAAAGAAGGGTGCCATGCCATGCCGGCCGTCTGGGGGTGGCCAGTGTGTGAGATTAACTGGCGAACGATAAAAAGCACTTAACACGGCAATCCATCGACTCGGGAGCTGGCATATCTAAACAGGGGGAGGACGGTGCTATCTCTGCTAGATGGTGCGTTAAATGGGCCAGTTGGACATGCATGCATATGTATTAGGGGTGCTTAGGAGTTAATTAACCGAATCACAGTCCAGGGATTCCTCGAACTCCGGTCACTTACGTAGGTCATCGTGGGCAAAGCACACAGGAAGATGAAGGCCAGCAGCAGCAGGACAAACAGCTCCCTTCGCCGGCCAATCACACGTGGATACTCATCACACAGCGCCGTAATCATCGCCTCCAGTCCGCCAAAGGTGCTGTCCAGGCCCAGTGTTATCAGCATCAGGAAGAAGATGATGCTCCAAAACACAGAGCCACTCATTGTGGCTATGGCCTCCGGATAGACGATGAATACCAAACCAGGCCCCTCTAAGCCCACTTTGTCAATTGAAGTCTTTTGGACGTAAGCCATGTAACTGTTGGGATTAAATATTAAAGATGTATATGAACAAGGTAATGATAAATAATAATATTTTAATATTTCTTATATAATTGAAGTCACAAACACTCACCCCAGCACGGAGAAGATGACGAATCCGGCCAAAAAACTGGTCAAACAGTTAATGCTGCTCGTGATTAGGGCATCCCTGTAGCAATTGTTATTAAACTTATTATAGCTGGACAGGGCCAGCAGTGTCCCGAAGCCAGGACCCAAAGAGAAGAATATCTGCGAGGCGGCGTCTATCCACACCTTGGAGTTCTTTAGCTTGTGCCACTCCGGAGTCAAATAATACTTGATACCCTCGTCCGCTCCGGGCAGAGAGACTCCTCGCACCAAGAGGATGATCAGCACCACGTAGGGGGCTAGTGCTGTGACCCAAACCACCTTACCAGCACTCCGTACACCCTTCCACAGGGAGAAATACACCAAGACAAAAACTCCAAAGACACAGAGTGCCAACGTGGGCTTCACAGGACCCATAAAGTCCAGTCCATTGCCCTTGTAGCTCTCCAGGACTCGTCGCCTGTGAAGATAATCACTGAGGTATACTGTTTACAGGGATACAAGGAATACCCACTCGAAGAACTCCTTGGCCGGTGAGGTGGACAACTCGGTGAAATTATCGCTGGTCACTGGCATACAGTTGTTGGTGTTCCAAGGATTATCGCAGGACGTCCAGGGCAGCTTAGAGGTGAACGAGGCGAAGAGATAGTAGACCGCCCAGCCGATAATCGTGTTGTAGTACATGCCCATATAAATGTCGATCAGGCAGATCGCATAGCCAACACCTGGGGGAATTTATTGTTTAATATTGAAGGTAATGCTACCTTGAGTTAAGACACCCTCATTTAATATTTAAATTGACTAAAAGACTCTTCCTTAATTATTTAAGTAAAGTTAAGGGAAGCAACAGGTTAAACACTTCAAAAGCACCCTTAGTATTCATATTTTTCAGCATTAATTCCACTGATTGTTCCTGCTAACAAGGCCACAAAGCATGCAAATCAACAGGTAGCACTTAAAAGCCAGCTCGCTTTAGCCTGGGAATGCCAATATTTCTGATTGAAAGCGCCGGCACAATGAGACCCAGAAAGGAAAAAGAAATTGGAATATTCCCGCGTGACAATTCGCAGGTTTCAGCCGTTGGACAAACCGTTTTTGTCTCCTTTCTGCTGCCAGTTTACTTATGAGGCCAATAAGACACGTCACGTGATTTTCCCTCTTTAAGCTGCTTTCCGGCTCCTTTTTCCATTCATTTCGAAGGGCCAGAGACGCTCGAGTCGCTCGGCAAAAGGTTCGCCAAAGCAAACACTTGTTGAGCAAATGATGACTGCCACAAAGTGATGTTTGCTCTTCGACTTTTCAATGGGGGGTGGGTGGGATTTGGCCTAGACTAGTAGTGGTGACATGGCAAAGTTTTCGGTCCAAGCTTTAAGCGAGAGACCCTCGCAGATCCAGGATATAATACATTTTGTTTGTCACTTAATGAAATTATCAACTCGATATGCAAACTTTGAAAAGGACTTCCCCTTCGGTGGCTGTGTCTTTTCATGGCTGTGTAAATCAATTTGAGGACAATTTAATTAGGCCTTGAGCTGGGGCGAGGCCCTGGCCCGGATGGAGGTCCTGATTTGGGCTTTGTGCGTTCCACTTGAATGCGCTGTTAATTGTTGCAACAAAACTGGTGACTCTTATCCATTCGACTGCCTGATAATGTCGCTGGCACACAATTGTGTGCTTCCCCCGTTTTACGGTTTTTAAAGCCACATATCCATATATCCCGAAGCCAAAAAATGAAACAATGCAGGAGCAACTTTGGTCCTTTGTCCTTCAGGCTAACACAAGTGCGGGTGGCCACAGAATCTGGCTGAGACAATAATGCTCGTCGGAGCGTGAAATATCAGGCATCAACAACACACACACACATGTCCCTCGCTGCGTATACTTAATTTCTCATTACAAAAAGCTAGCCCCTCCGGCTAAAGGCCTCCGTTCTGCGTAAATATTGAAATATTCCAATATGCAATCACGCGTTTTTACTTCTTTTTTTTTTATATAATATGCGACTAAAACTCAATATTTGTAATTCATTTAAATTGCCATTTAATCTTGTATCCTATTTGGAAGCCCCAGGCATCTTCATATTTATTTGTACATTATTTTTTTAAAGCTCATGTGGGGAATTCTTAATGGGATTCTTTTTTGTGCCATGTTTAATACAGGTTATCTTCGGGGTTTCCACTCACCTTTTAGGGCCGGGCAGATGCGCTTCCAGATGCTGAGACAGCCACAGCGATGGAACTGACCTAGGGCCAGTTCCATGTAGAAGAGGGGCAGGCCGCCAAAGATGAGAAAGAGGCAGTAGGGCACCAGAAAGGCGCCGCCTCCATTTTGGTAGCAAATATACGGAAATCGCCACACATTGCCCAGGTCAACAGCAAAGCCAATAACGGCCAGCAGGAATTCCGCCTTTTGTCCCCAAGTCTCGCGAGTTCGCTCCGTCACAGACACCACCAAAATGCGCTGTAATATTAGGGAGAAAATTCATTAGAAAATAAATATTATATGTTGGCACTCAGCTGGTAAACAAAAAAGGTAGAGAATAAACCGATCGAATGGTTTTATTGTACGTATAATCGACATGTTGCTCCCAAATTTATCTGAAAATCATCAAAGTTGCATTTTATCTTTAATCGAAATCTGTCAAAAGCTAAGGGAAATCGCCATCTAGGAGCCTTTGCCTGTTGAATGTCACTCTTACCTCAAATATATGTATATATAAGCACTGAAATACTATCAGTCGTGCCCTGCCTTTCTAAGGGAACAGTTCCTACATATATCCAGTAAACTATTTTTTATTTTAATATTTTTTTTAATTTCAAGTTCTCAATAATTTTTAATATTGTTTTGGGTTTTTTTTTTTTACTTTTATTTCTAGTTTGCATTTCTATAATACCAGACGAAATATCTGTTTTGGAATACCTAAGCTTGGTTTAAAATTTTGGTTAAATTTGAGTTCTAAAAATTTTTTATTTTTATCCTCAAAGGTTGTTTGCGACATTCCAGCCAATTTTTTATCTTTGCCCGTTTTGTACGATTCCATTGTGCATTTATCGTGAATAAAGAAAGGATCTCATTTTGATTTTTTTTAATTTATAATAAACTTAATTCAATTTAAAATTCGAAAACAATGTAAAACTTAAAAACGTTTCTCAGTTTCCACAGAACTCACCTCGTTGTTGGCCAATCGTGGGGCCAGCGGATCGGTGACTTTGGCTGGCGATGCATTGTCACCGTCGTCTTCGTTGGAGTCATCCTCATTGTTTGGCGACTCCTTGTCATTACTCCAAGGAGCAGTGTTCGTCCGGCTTGCCATGGTAGCGGCACTGGCGGAGACGACGCCGCCGCCGCCGCCAAATTCGGAGCCATTGTTTGCGCTTCCGCTGCGATCCATGCTGAGGCGGCGTGCCTTTGGCTTGGGCGTGGGCGGGGGCGTTGTGCCGGGGGGCGTGGCAGTGTACGCCGATCGCGGCACGAGCGTAGCCAGCCGAACTTTGGACGCGGTCCGCTGTCGAGGAAGGGAACACTGCGACTCTCCGTTATCCGTTGGCGACCTAAGCTGCTTCGCTCGCTTTTCCGCTCGTCCACTTCTCCGCTCTTCCACTTTTCTGCTTTTCCGCTTGTCCCGTTGCCCCGCTTAGCGTGTGTGTGGTCGTGGAAATTGCATTTTCCCCACGGCTCTCTTCACATGCTGGAACTGTCGCCAATGACGACAACGACGAGTGACCAAAAACTGTAATAACAACAGGGTTAAATCGGAATCGTATTAAATGGGGCCTGGCTAATGGTGGCCATTTATTGACGGCCCCAAGGGAGGCATTGAAATTAACACAGATATTTTTGTATGCAGTTTTGCAACAGTTTCCAAGTGGCAAATATAAATCGGCAAGTCGTAAAACGTAAATGCCCCTGACCGCATCGAGTTCTGATTTCGAACACCCGCGGTGTCCTTTAATGGTGGCCCACCAAAAAAACTCACTTTCAATGTCAATGTCGTGGTATATGCAATTCCCTGACTATTGTTCTCCCTCAATAGCTTTAAACCTTTGTTTTATTTGCCGATAAATCTTAAATGGCACACCTTCTGTGGTACAGCAGGGCGTATGAGTAACGAAGCGCACACGGTCTTCGCGACGGGGTTTTCCCATTGCCTTCCGTTTGGCTTTTTAATTACCATTTAATTGTTACCCACACGCGAAGCCACAGCAATGATAAAGCCAAGAAAGAAAGTCGTACACAAGTGCCGACGGATGGCGACACAGTTGGAATTCCTAAAAATTAAATCGTTTTGATAACACAAGCACTAAAAATAAAGACCGAGGTGTCAACAAAAAAATGCAAAACAATCAAAAGGCACTTAGAGATATGGAGGCCAGAATAATCTTTGCCAGATGCCTCTTAACTGTTAAGGAAATTAAAATATTAATACGTTTTTAATTGTAAGGATTTTCTTTTCTTTGGCCAAATAAGTGTAAGTTTAATTTAAACAAAATCTAAATTAAGAGATTTATTTTGTCTAATACTTAAGCGAGGTATTGTAGTATATTCTTGTTAATTAATATTCAAGGGAAATACTTTCTTTTTACTATAAAAAATGTCTTAAAAGTGAGCTAAATAAGAGGTAAATGCTTTCTATAAGGAAAGAATTCAATAAAATAATGATAAATGTAAACCTAAATTTTTTATACATTACAAATAAATACAATAAACCCGGCTTATTCTTTAATACCTAAAGAAATTTGAATATTTCCTTAAGATATAATTATTTCCTAAATAAATCACAATCGTTGCTGACTTCGAGAGCTTTAACTAAATTTTTTGTAATACTTTTCTACAACTTTCAAGTTAATTAATTATTTTTTAAGAACACACTTAAACCCGAAATAGATAATTAAATTCAAACTTTAGTAAAAAATAGAATTTCAAATTGTAAAATAAAATACTTATTTTATGCACTTACTTTCTTTAAAAAAAACTGTTAGGATGAAACTTTCCACTTTAAAAGCAACAATTTTAGTTGCCACAAATAACCGTTAACACTTTTATTTATTACTTGGCCATGGCACTGCACAAAGTTAAAAAATTCCTCGGGCTTGGCTTCCTTCTGGCGTCCGATCTGAGAGACGCGCGCCGCTCCGCTGGGCCAACTGATGAATCCTCCGGACGGAGTCCTCCTTTTATACACACGCTGCGCAGGCGGGCGCCAGGAGCTCGTCGGCAGGACGACGAGACGAGTCAGCTTCGTCGGCTATCTTTTGGGGGTTGCAGTTGGGGCACAGAGAGGAACTGGGTCCGACAGGTGGACAAAGTGTAACTTAAATTGCAGCCAACTGTTGCTCATCGAAGTTGCTTAATGGGCGTTGGGGGTTGGGTCTGGAGCTCAGGAGCCAGGGGGCGTGGCCCATTAAGTTTGCCTAGAAGCCTTGTTAAATGCTTGCCACATTACTAAACTGTCCATTCGATTGACAGGTGAAAAAGTTTCATTTCACTAATTCAGTTTCAAGTTGGAATAGATAATTGAGGAAGCAGCAGGGCACACAAACATTATTGTATATGGCTTTTAATTTAGGTTGTAAATTTATTATTATTATATTCATTTAGTTACATCACAGAACATTATAATTTAGAATATATTTATTCAGTTTAGTGTTGAATTTAATTTGATAGAACACTTTCTGGGCACTTTCTTTACATTTCGCTTCAAATTTCAGCTTTCGTTTGTTAGTTTCCACTTTATAATTATAATATATAAGAAAATAATTTATGGTTCCCTAGAAAAATAGCTGACAATCACAAATAACTAGAAAGATAGTTAAAATTCGGTTGAAATCGGTTTCAACAGACTTTTGTTGCGGATATTCCCAGTTGTTTACCCTTTAAAGAGCTTCTGCTATCTGACTCTAAAATTGTCTGCGATGCTTTACTTGATTTCCGAGAGAATGATTAGAGTTTTTTCCCGAGAAAAAAGTTGGAATTTAATTTGAGTTTTTGTTTGTTTATTTGTTTATTATTTATTTTTGCTAATTATTGCGAGCCCAGTTGCCGCGAGCGTTGCGCGCACACTCGACTCGGTTTGTCAAGTGGGTAATTCAACGTAATTGCAAATCGCGAATCGCGGATTGCTGATCGGGGGATTTCGCGGAGGCGTTAGACTCGTATGGAGTCGTCATGGGCTGCACACGTTTTCTGTGGTTGGGGTAGGCGGTACCGATCCCGATCCCCACCTTATACGAGTACACCGAAATATATATTGAATGGAAATGAGGGTTTATTTAATCTAATTTCAAGTTAAAATAAACAAGAATTTTAAATCAATAAATCTACATTAAGAAAAATATGTTTTTCTAAAGAAAATTCTCTACAAAAATCAACGTAGAGCTCCAAATTTTCCATTCTGTTTGATTTTCCTGTCTGCTCTTAGACGCTGCTCTGTCTGTTGGGTCACAGATGCACTGATAAAAAAAAACAAGAATTTTGGTCATAAAAACGAGATTTTTCGGTCACGAAAATGGCTTAAGCATATTTTGGTCTTCTTTGGATATTTTCGGTCATCTTTTAAGTACTTTTTCATTCTACATTTGAGATTTTTCAAATATTATTTCAATCCTTAAAAAAGTTTAAAATAAGAACGATAAACGACCGAAAATCTTAAAAAATGACCATAACAAGGCTTAAATTAAGAAAAAAAAATTTGTTTGAATCCTAACGAGACCGGCCTTAGTTAATACTACTAAACATTCGTAATACCAAACATTTTAAATTAAACATTATTGTGAAAGAATTTGTATAATCTGTAATTATAGAGCTAGAAATGATTATTGTAAATTAAATTAGTATTAGAAATTTTATTAAAAAGCTACTTACATTTTTTTCCCGGCTGGGATCCGAACCCATGTCTCAAAATTCACAGACCGACCGCTTACCAACTGGGCCACTGAGGCAAATCAAACACTAATGTCGGGAACGTAAATACATACAGTTCCAAGGACAGAGAAAACAAAAAAAAAAATGTATCTCCCTCTCTGAGCTAAAAATAGTTTTTTTAAGAATGGTCGTAAGAGCGAGACGGCACTATGACTTCCATTTTTGTGTGAGAAAAAAAAGAGACAACACTAGAAGCCGTCTCTTCTGAATTTTTAAGATTAACAAAAATCTTAATTTACGATTTTTATTTCTTAAAATGAATCATTTTCGGTATTACTTTATGATTTTTTCTTCTTCTTATTAGAATATTTGGTCTTTTTTTAAGATTTTTTTTTTAAGAATGCCAAAAAATGTGCAAATCTTAAAAGTAGAGTATTTTGTTCGTAAATATACCCTGAAAAATCTCATTTCTAGAATTTTTGGTCTTATAGTAAGATTTTAAATTAAGAATGCGCAAAATCTCAAAAGAAGATTTTATTTTTTTTATCAGTGTGCTGTGCCTCGGTTGTACGTGTATTATTCATCGACGTATCATCGCTGTGCGTTTACAAACTATTTGGCCACAGAACCGGGGCTTATGTAACTGTAATCCGATATTGAATTTCCTTGCCAAGCCGCAAACTACGTCATCGGCTCGAACGCAAAATAAGCAAACGGAAGGCGCGACAGCTGAATGGATTGCAATTGATATGGAGATCAGGTGGTGGTGGAGGTGGAAAGTCCAAAACGGGAAAATAGCTTCAAAAACAAACGATAAGTTAATGCAAATTAATGGGATATTAATTGTTTTAACCATAAATGAAGGTCAAAATGTATAACCACATCTTAAAAATATAAAAGCAGAAATGGGGAAAAGAAATTTATAAACTCAAAAATATATATATAATTTTTTCTTATGTACCTAAAGTAAATAATTAAAAAAATTATTAAACAAAACCTCGAAATATTTAATATCCAAAAATTAATGCTTTTGGAAGAAATATATTTAATAAATACATTTTAAACAATAATAAAATGCAATAAAAAAAAATATATATATTTCCACTTTAATTTAAATTCCCAATTACCTTAAAACTTTACCGCCACCATCCAACAGTTGCTCTCAAACCTTGTAATTTTTTAGCAAAGTTGGCAGCGCTAGTAACATTTTCTGGTGTGACCAGCTGAAATTCCAGTGTGACCAGCAGTCGTGGAGGAAGAAATTGGTTGTGAAAACAAAAACAAAAAAAAACCAAAACAAATGCATTCTCGTTTATCTTCTTTTCACAAATAACCGAAAAACTAGTGGAGTTTCCGTAGTTTGTAGTGGCACCAGAATAAGAAATGCGTCTGACCAAGCTGTGGCAGAACCGGTCACCGGGTGACCGCCACCTGAGCACCTATTTCTGCTTTGCGGCGGTGCGTCTGCTCCTGGTTTTCGTGCCCCAATTGGGCTATGTGCATCCGGATGAGTTCTTCCAAAGCGTGGAAGTGATGACGGGTGAGAATGTGGACTCTCTATTATGTATAGAATGGTTTCTTTAATATTAACCCTCTGCAGGCGACCACTTTCGGCTGGAGCACACGCGCACCTGGGAGTTCAACAACTCGATGCCGGTGAGGAGCATAACGCTGCCCTTTGCGCTCCTCCGCGTGCCTTGGAGCTTCTACGAGTTCATAGCGATGTACCTGCGTACTTGGTGGGATGTGGAGCTGCTGGGCACGTATGCTTACGTGGTCTTCCCGCGGCTTGTCTACACCCTAATCTCGTACAGCAACGATTGGTGTCTGTACAGGATTTGCCGTCTTTACGGGCTGCGCTTCGAGATCCGCCTGCTGGCGCTGGGCAGCTCCTGGGTGCTGCTCGTCTTTGGCACGCGCACCTTCTCCAACAGCCTGGAGATGGCCATGTGCTCGTGGCTCCTCTGCTTGGTGGCGGAATGCATGCTGCGCACAAACACGGTGGTGTACAAAAAGGAGTTCCTCGAGGAGAAGTACGACAAGGCGGAGTCCATTAGCGAACGCGTGCGCATCTGGAAGCTGAAGAATGCCTTGCCGCCGCACAATCTGCAGCACCTGCTGGCCATGTCCACAATCTGCGTGGCCGGGGTTTTTAATAGGCCCACCTTCCTGCTCTTTGGAGCGCCCATGGTCTTCTTCTGGCTGCTGCGCGGAATGGGAACACGCACTGTCACCTTCCGGGACTTTAATCTCCGGATAGTTCTCTTCTGTCTGTGCGCCCTGCCCGCTCTTGTGGTGTTTATATTTTGCGACTCGCTGTACTACCAGCACCTGACCGTGGGCGAGCTGCACATGATGCACCTGAACATCGACAACTTTGTCTTCACTCCCTGGAACTTTATCAAGGCGAACCTGGACTCGGCGCAAACGGCCAGCCATGGCGTCCATCCCTGCTACGTTCATTTGATGGTCAACATGCCGATGCTCTTCAATGTCCTGGCCCTGGCTTCGCTGGGTGCCTTTGCCCAGCTGCTACTGCGCTTCTTCCGCGCGGAATACCAAGTGCTGCCACGCTTCCAGAGCATCGTATCGCTGATGTCGGGCGCCATATTTGTGCCGCTCTTTTTTCTCTCGCTGATCAACCACCAGGAACCGCGCTTCCTGCTGCCGGTGACATTCCCGCTGCTGCTGTTACACGCTCCCAAGCTGATCACCGGGTTCAGTGCCAAGTATCCCTTTCAGAAGGATCACCCGCTGCTGCGTTGGTTCTACGACAGATGGCTTTCGAGCAAGGCTTCCGGTCCGTATCTCCTGAAGATCTGGTATGTGAGCAATGTGGCGCTCACCCTCTTCTTTGGATTCATTCATCAGGCGGGGGTTTATCCCCTGGCAGCTGACATCTCGCATGTGATGGCCACCAAGCCGGCGGCCACGCATGTCCATCTGATGACCTCGCACATCTACAGTCTGCCTTTGCACCTGCTCAACATTCCCAGCTCCCGGGTGCTGCACTTTAATAGGCAAACGCATCAGCGATATCGTCGCCAGCGGGACTTTTATATGTACGAATACGGTGGGCTTTCCCTGGATGGCCTGCTGCAGAAGGTGAAGCTCATCAGTGGCAACTGCGAGGTGAAGCAGTCTGGACCCAGTCGCCTGCGCTACAAGCTGTACTTGGCCATTCCCGCCTCTCTAAGCGCCGATCTCCACGAGGCGCTGGTGCAGTCCAATGCCAGCAGCTACCTCAACTTTGAGTTGCTGAACGTCTTCTATCCGCATCTCTCCACGGAGGCATTTCCTCGTCTAAAGGGCAGGCATCCTTGCGATGTGGACGCCCCTCACTGGGCTCACGATGATTTCCGGGGAACCTGCGCCGTGGAGCAGCCGCCAGCGCTGAGCTTTGCCTATGTGAACAAGCAGTTCAGCTCCTTTGTCCATCAACTGGGACTGGCGCTGTACGAGATCGATGTGAGGCGCAAGAAGCCGCCAAGCCGCTCAGTGGAAGTGAAGATGAAAGCCACAATGCCAGAAACTAAGGCGTAGGGAGAAGGCCTGTTCTTCACTAATTCCAAGTGCCTTGAACCAAAGTTGTAGGCTAAGATTTCCAAGTTAAAACTAAGCTACCTTTTAATGTAAAATTTCACGGTAAATTCTGATCTCTGCAGTTAATGTGCTGCAGACATTCCTGCTAACCGCACAGAATACTTTATAAATACTTTATAAACACTCCTAGTCATTACCAAATAGCTACTTAATCTTTAACTATCCATTAAGTTTTGACAAATACTCGAGCCAATCCATAGAATAATATTACCAAGTGACCAAAGACAAAGCCGAGCAGCTGAAGTGGAAATCCCAGCGGAGAGGTGAGTCTGCCCACACACCAGATTGATTCGTCAAAGGCAATCAGTAATCAGAATCGTAATTCCAATTCCCTGTCCATTTCAGTTGTCGCCATCAGATCTCTTGCCGAGAATGCTGGAAAAGAGTAATCCATTTGACACGCCGTGAGGCGAGGCGCGGCATCCGCGTTCATTGAACGTTACCTGGCAGAAATCTCGCTGCGAACGCAATTGTGTTCTAATTTAGGTTTTTTGTATTTGGCGCTGCCTAAGCCGGAAACCCGTTTTGGCCAATGCGGCGACAATTGGCCTATAAAATGGCAGGGAAAAGTGGCCAACAGCATCAGTCGCTGACAAACCAACAAACCCAAACCAACCAAATCAACATGAAGGTAAGCCACAGCCTGCCCTTCAGGATTGAATGGTCTGACTAAAGGATTTCGCTTTGTATTCCCGTAGTTCCTCATCTGCTTGGCTCTCTGCATTGCCGCCGCCCAGGCTGGCTTCATCGCCTCCCCGTTGACCACCTATGCCGCTGCTCCTTATGCCGCCACCTACGCCGCCGCTGCTCCTGTGGCCTACACCGCTCCCGTGACCACCTATGCTGCTGCTGCTCCTGCTTACTCCACTTATGCTGCTGCAGCTCCTGCGTACTCCACGTATGCTGCCGCTGCTCCCGCCTACACTGCTTCGGTGTACAGTGCCCCGGCCTACACCGCACCGGTGACCACCTATGCTGCTGGCCCTGCCTACACTGCTCCCATTTCTACCTATGCTGCTCCCGCCATCGTCAGCCCCTTCCTGAAGAAGAAGTAAACGGGGACTTGCCAGCCATACGCCCATTGATCCATCCGAATGATTTGATAACTAAATAAAGCGCAAATTCAAGCGAATGCCCAAACTATGGACTTATTTCAAGGCTTTCTATTATATGATCTCACATATTCAGTTTTATATATATCACTAGGATGACTGTACCTGCCGAATAAGTACATCCTTTTCGTGTCCATGATGGCGAATAAAAAAGGACGGTTAAACACTAAACTGAGATTCGGAGCGGCTCGTTTCTGGCGACCTGGAAAGTGATTTAAAATTGGTTTTGAGTATTCGATGGTTTAAGGATAATATCGCACCTCTGTGTAAACCTGACCTACGCCTAGGATTACGACGCGATTCTGTGGCTATCACGTCGACGCCTTAAAGTGGAATTAAAATGGGTTATGAAAAGATAGTTTTATATCTTAAGGATAATATCAAACCTGTAGCAAAATCTGACTTGACTCCTTTATCGTCAAAGTTAATGATAGCTGAGTGCATAATGCTGTCGATAATGAAGTTCTCATTGGACGTGGTAAGTTTTGCGAGATTTGGGTGGGTAAAAACAGTCTTGTTAACCCCTAGATCGATCAGGGTTTGTACCATATCCCGGCTATACTTGAACTTAAACTGTGGCATGGACAGATGAAGATGCTTGACAGATGTTTTATGGACATCTACGTGCTTCAGACCCTCTTCTATCTTTTGAATCCCATGGTAAGTTTTGGGGAACAGCAGGAGCATGTCAAGATTAGTTTTGTCAAACGGAATAATCACCACGTGGCAGTCTAGTTTGTTCAGAAAGCTGTACTTCAAGTTGCCTTCCAATTTCATCATCTTAACCGACTCCGAACGACTTTCGTCCGGTATATAAAAATTCTCATCGGCAATTGGCTTGAATTGGTACTTCCACTGGGCAAAAAAATTGACGGTGTTAGTAAGGAAGACTTTTTTCGGATCCTCGAACTGGTGCGGTTCAATAAGATCCTCAAGATCTTCGGCAGTTTGCGAGGTAACCCAGGGGTTAATCGTTTCTGCCCAATTTTCGTTCTCATCCACGTTTTCGATTACGGTATTCAGATATTTTGCATATTCACTGTGATACGTGGAACTGATTTTGACTCCCTTGCGTGCATAGAATCGACTGGCAATTCGAATAAGAGGATTTCCCTCCGAGACCCACGACGGAAGGTTGCCCTTGAATATTGAGGGTCCTTTGTAGCCCAATGAATTTTCCAAGTCGGTCTCAGTTGTTCCTCCGCCGGCTAGGTAAAGTTGGACCAGGGCCAGATCGATGGCTGGGGGACATATGATGACGTTGTCATCTGGTAGATCGTTTATCACATTCCCAAACATCTGGAGGGCAGAGAATCTACTTGATTGCACCTCATCTGCTATGCCAAAGAGTAGCAGGAGGATGCACACTATCTTCATCGACATGGTTAGGGGTACTGGACAAACCGGACTGCTCCGTGGACCATTGTGGCAAAGTATTCATTCGTTATAGATTATTTATTTTATTACGCTTGTTAAATGCCTACAACATATTGGTTCGATACTATGACTACATTTCACTTACATTCTAGGGAGCGATAGAAGCGAAATACAAAACAAATTGCAATATCTGAGATGGGGGAAGATCGATGGGTCTGCTGCTCAGTGGAGATTATGGCTCAGATACATGGGATTCTTCGGTGCGTCGGCCTCCTCGAACTCAAAGTCCTCGGCTTCGTCCTCGTTCCAGCGCACCGTGCGGTCGCTACTACCATCAAAGCGAGAGCGAGTATCGGGTTTCGGGGAGAGAAAGTAAGTTCAGAATATATAGACTTTGTCGCTGTGAACACAATAAGAATTTGTGTGTGTTTTCGGTTGGTACTCTTGTCATTATTAGCCATTAGCTCATTATCTCTGATTATCCAGTTATCCGGGTATCACAGAAATCTCGATTCGTTCGCTGAACCCCTTGAGAAATCAATGAGGTTTAAAGGTTTGAGTATTCAGAACTTTGCTGAGTAATTGATTTCGTCATGGTTAAGATATCTTTTCATTCATAGGTATACCGGAGTGGGTTTGAGGTACTCAGTGGGTTCTAGGTAAGACTATTTTTTTTTAGATTTTTGCCACACTCCTCCCTCTTTCCCGACTTACGCCGCAACGTCCGCATCCATATGAGCTCCAGCACCATAGGCATCGCTCTCGTCCAGATCGAATTCATCGGTGCCAGTGCGTTGGTTGTGGAATTTATAAGGTTAGTTGAGCATTAAGCAATGCCAAAGAATATATACAGTATACATAGGCTAATGGACGGGGTGAGTGTAGTGGCTGTTGGTGGTGGGTGCTCTTCTCTTACTGGCCTAGGGATTTCTTTTTTAGGGTCCTGGGTTTGGCACTGGGACAACTCACAGGCGCTGATTCCGCTTGTTGACAATGTCCTGCACGGCTCGGGCAGTCAGCGACACCCTGCTCTTCAATCGCATCGGCGTGCGGGGCATCGGAACGGCGGCCGGAATGTCCGGATTGACGCTGAGCACATGGGTTACGGGACGCCGGACCATTTCACTGCTAGCTCTATCCGCGTTGGTACGAGTACTACGTCTGGCATGCAGAGATTTTTGGGGCAGACGGTGAGTGAGTGAGTGGGGTGCCGCCGGGGGAGCCCAGGGTCAGGGACACTTACAACTTTGGCTTAGTACGGAGATTGGGACGATGGCTGCGCGGATCTGCGGGGCGTTGCTCTGGACTAACACTGGACTGGGAATGGCTATGGATGTGGCTCTGATTCTGGCTCTGAGTCTGATTCTGGCTGCGCCAGCCACTGTCCTCGGTATGATCTTCAAAGTCGAATTCCTGCCCTGCCGGCGAGGGGCAGGGGCAGGATCTCTAAGGCTTTGGGGGGACCTCAACTTACAGCGGCGGCTTAATCTTATTACGAGATTGCCAAATATTCAGTATCTTTCTAGTCTGACTGGTCTCACGCTCCCTCTCATGGGAGTTGGTCCTACTGGGTCCACTAGATGAGCCCCAATTGTCATCCTCGGGGTCGTGGCGCCTAATGCAATGATGGAATGAGCTTGAGATGCGGCGCTTCAATGGAGAATCTCTGCACTACTCACAGCTGCTGGCGACTACGGCTGCGCACCGGCGTATTTAAGGCGGAGACGTCGCGGCCGCGGCTCAGCTCACGCTCCCGACTCCTTTGATCCCTGGTCCGCCCTGTCCATTTCAGTTGTCGCCATCAGATCTCTTGCCGAGAATGCTGGAAAAGAGTAATCCATTTGACACGCCGTGGCGAGGCGCGGCATCCGCGTTACTTTAACGTTACCTGGCAGAAATCTCGCCGCGAACGCAAATTGTGTTCTAATTTAGGTTTTTTGTATTTGGCTCTGCCTAAGCCGGAAACCCGTTTTGGCCAATGCGGCGACAATTGGCCTATAAAATGGCAGGGAAAAGTGGCCAAGAGCATCAGTCGCTGACAAACCAACAAACCCAAAACAACCAAATCAACATGAAGGTAAGCCGCAACCTGCCCTTCAGGATCGAATAGTCTGGCTAAAGGATTCCGCTTTGTATTCCCGTAGTTCCTCATCTGCTTGGCTCTCTGCATTGCCGCCGCCCAGGCTGGCTTCATCGCCTCCCCGTTGACCACCTATGCCGCTGCTCCTTATGCCGCCACCTACGCCGCCGCTGCTCCTGTGGCCTACACCGCTCCCGTGACCACCTATGCTGCTGCCGCTCCTGCTTACTCCACTTATGCTGCTGCAGCTCCTGCGTACTCCACGTATGCTGCCGCTGCTCCCGCCTACACTGCTTCGGTGTACAGTGCCCCGGCCTACACCGCACCGGTGACCACCTATGCTGCTGGCCCTGCCTACACTGCTCCCATTTCTACCTATGCTGCTCCCGCCATCGTCAGCCCCTTCCTGAAGAAGAAGTAAACGGGGACTTGCCAGCCATACGCCCATTGATCCATCCGAATGATTTGATAACTAAATAAAGCGCCATTTCAAGCGAATGCCCAAACTGTGGACTTGTATTATACATATTCATATATTATACATATTCAGTTTTACATATCACCAGGATGACTGTACCTGCCGAAGAAGTACATCCTTTTCGTGTCCATGATGGCGAATAAAAAAGGACGGTTCAACACTAAACTGAGATTCGGTTGCTTCTTCAGTGGGGCGGCTCGTTTCTGACGACCTGGAAAGTGATTTAAAATTGGTTTTGAGTAAGTCGATGGTTTAAGGATAATATCGCACCTCTGTATAAAGCTGACCTACGCTGGATAGGATTAGGACGCGATTCTGTGGCTATCACGTCGACGCCTTAAAATGGAATTAAAATGGGTTATGAAAAGATAGTTTTATATCTTAAGGATAATATCAAACCTGTAGCAAAATCTGACTTGACTCCTTTATCGTCAAAGTTAATGATAGCTGAGTGCATAATGCTGTCTATAATGAAGTTCTCATTGGACGTGGTAAGTTCTTGGAGATTTGTGTGGGTAAAAACAGTCTTGTTAACCCCTAGATCGATCAGGGTTTGTACCATATCCCGGCTATACTTGAACTTAAACTGTGGCATGGACAGATGAAGATGCTTGACAGCTGTCGTACGGACATCTACGTGCTTCAGACCCTCTTCTATCTTTTGAATCCCTTGGTAAGTTTTGGGAAACAGCAGAAGCATGTCCAGGTTTATTTTGTCAAACGGAATAATCACCACGTGGCAGTCTAGTTTGTACAGAAAGCTGTACTTCAAGTTGCCTTCCAATTTCATCATCTTAACCGACTCCGAACGACTTTCGTCCGGTATATAAAAATTCTCATCGGCAATTGGCTTGAATTGGTACTTCCACTGGGCAAAAAAATTGACGGTGTTAGTGAGGAAGACTTTTTTCGGATCCTCGAACTGGTGCGGTTCAATAAGGTCCTCAAGACCTTTGGCAGTTTGCGAGGTAACCCAGGGGTTTATCGTTTCTGCCCAACTTTCATTCTCATCCACGTTTTCGATTACGGTATTCAGATATTTTGCATATTCACTGTGATACGTGGAACTGATGTTGACTCCCTTGCGTGCATAGAATCGACTGGCAATTCGAATAAGAGGATTTCCCTCCGAGACCCACGACGGAAGGTTGCCCTTGAATATATTACCCTTTGAGGGTCCTTTGAAGCCCAATGAATTTTTCAAATCGGTCTCTGTTGTTCCTCCGCCGGCTAGGTAAAGTTGGACCAGGGCCAGATCGATGGCCGGGGGACATATGATGACGTTGTCATCTGGTAGATCGTTTATCACATTCCCAAACATCTGGAGAGCAGAGAATCTCCTTGATTTCACCTCATTTGCTATGCCAAAGAGTAGCAGGAGGATGCACACTATCTTCATCGACATGGTTAGGGGTACTGGACAAACCGCACTGCTCCGTGGACCATTTTGGAAAAGTATTCATTCGTTATAGATTATTTATTTTATTACGCTTGTTAAATGCCTACAACATATTGGTTCGATACTATGACTACATTTCACTTACATTCTAGGGAGCGATAGAAGCGAAATACAAAACAAATTGCAATATCTGAGATGGGGGAAGATCGATGGGTCTGCTGCTCAGTGGAGATTGTGGCTCAGATACATGGGATTTTTCGGTGCGTCGGCCTCCTCGAACTCAAAGTCCTCGGCTTCGTCCTCGATCCAGCGCACCGTGCGGTCGCTACTACCATCAAAGCGAGAGCGAGTATCGGGTTTCGGGGAGAGAAAGTAAGTTCAGAATATATAGACTTTGTCGCTGTGAACACAATAAGAATTTGTGTGTGTTTTCGGTTGGTACTCTTGTCTCTGGCATGTGCACAAGATTCAGATCAAATCAATCAAAAAACCAAAATCAAAATCAAACGCAAGGCAAAAAACAAACTCATTTTGGCAACTGAATACGGTTAATAACGTTGGTAGAACCTGTTCATGCCGGCCGCTGGCGGAGGCGGTGGCGGCGGAGCGCCCCTAGGCGGCGTGCGTCGGGCGCTGGAAAAGAGAATATCAATGTTGTTATTGGGGAAGTTACCATTAGCTCATTATCTCTGATTATCCAGTTATCCGGGTGTCACAGAAATCTCGATTCGTTCGCAGAACCCCTTGAGAAATCAATGAAGTTTAAAGTTTTGAGTATTCAAAACTTTGCTGAGTAATTGATTTCGTCATGGTTAAGATATCTTTTCATTCATAGGTGTACTCAGTGGATTCTAGGTACGACTATTTTTTTTTGAGATTTTTGCCACACTCCTCCCTCTTTCCCGACTTACGCCGCAACGTCCGCATCCATATGAGCTCCAGCACCATAGGCATCGCTCTCGTCCAGATCGAATTCATCGGTGCCAGTGCGTTGGCTGTGAAAATTATAAGATTAGTTGATCTTTAAGCACTCCCAAAGCATATATATAGTATAGGCTAATGGACGGGGTGAGTGTAGTGGCTGTTGGTGGTGGGTGCTCTTCTCTTACTGGCCTAGGGATTTCTTTTTAAGGGTCCTGGGCTTGGCACTGGGACAACTCACAGGCGCTGATTCCGCTTGTTGACAATGTCCTGCACGGCTCGGGCGGTCAGCGACACCCTGCTCTTCAATCGCATCGGCGTGCGGGGCATCGGAACGGCGGCCGGAATGTCCGGATTGACGCTGAGCACAGGGGTTACGGGACGCCGGACCATTTCACTGCTAGCTCTATCCGCGTTGGTACGAGTACTACGTCTGGCATGCAGAGAGTTTTGGGGCAGACGGTGAGTGAGTGGGGTGCCGTCGGGGGAGCTCAGGGTCAGGGACACTTACAACTTTGGCTTAGTACGGAGATTGGGACGATGGCTGCGCGGATCTGCGGGGCGTTGCTCTGGACTAACACTGGACTGGGAATGGCTATGGATGTGGCTCTGATTCTGGCTCTGAGTCTGATTCTGGCTGCGCCAGCCACTGTCCTCGGTATGATCTTCAAAGTCGAATTCCTCAGTGCCCTGCCGGCGACTGTTCGCAGAGAAGGGTAGAGTTATCAGAACAAGGCGGGGCAGGATCTCTAAGGCTTTGGGGGGACCTCAACTTACAGCGGCGGCTTAATCTTATTACGAGATTGCCAAATATTTAGTATCTTTCTAGTCTGACTGGTCTCACGCTCCCTCTCATGGGAGTTGGCCCTACTGGGTCCGCTGGACGAGCCCCAATTGTCATCCTCGGGGTCGTGGCGCCTAATGCAATGATGGAATGAGCTTGAGATGCGGCGCTTCAATGGAGAATCTCTGCACTACTCACAGCTGCTGGCGACTACGGCTGCGCACCGGCGTATTCAAGGCGGAGACGTCGCGGCCGCGGCTCAGCTCACGCTCCCGACTTCTTTGATCCCTGGTCCGCTCACGCTCCCTATCCGTTTCCCGCTGGTTCTGCTCCTGCCGCCGCTGCTGCTGCTGTGGCTGCTGCTGTTCCCTTGAAGGAGTAGAGTCTTCGTCGGCCAGGTCCAGGGTCTCCTCGGTAGCAGTGCGTCGTCTGTGGAAGGGTGAGGTCTATAGGTTAACAGTGCCTTCTAGAGAAAAGGGTCAGTTATGTATATGAGCTTGGACAAAAACTTTGTTCGTTTTCCAGCCGCCCTTTAAATTTACATAAAAATTAATATCAAAAAGAGAAAACCTCTTAGGTCCGACTGGTTCAATTTGGTTTGATGAATATGTTTCCTATCCATGACTTACAGTGGTGGCTTTGGTCGTGCCGTGCTGCTGGTGCTCCTTTCCCGGCTCTGCTCTCGCCTATCCTTCTTGCCGCTGGCCGCGGCACTGCTGGTTCGCTGCTTCTTCCTGCCACGACTCTCGCCGCGCTGCTCCTGCTCCGGACTCCGGTCACTCCGCCTCTGGCGGCTCTTGCTGCGCGTTTGCGCCGCCTGCATGGCATTCAGACGGGTTTGGACAGTAATCAAATTAAGGCCAACCGGAGTGCCTATGGCCCAGAGGAGGAGCGTGAGGAAAATGAAGAAGGTCAGGCCGTTGATGAAGTCGACCATGTTGCGGCAGAGGAAGGAGCGGCTGGCATCGAAGGTGTCGTAAAAGGGTCGGCACTTGGTGGTGGTGTCGCCCAGCTGGGACTCCATGGTGGCACGACTGCTGGTCAAGTAGGCCTTCAGGCTGTGATGGAGAGAGTGTGGGAAATTTACACATTTCAGAAAGTAAACAAATAAATCAGGGAAAAAAGTCAGAATAAAAAGTATTTCTGTTAAATTTTTACTTTTAAATTTTTCTAGTCTTCCTTTTTAAATCTCCAGACTCTCTAGTAATTCGATTTCTCAATATTTCCCAGAACCTAAGCCTGAAAAATACCCAAGCTCTTAATTTAAATTAAATCTCCTTAAATTTTGGAGTACAACCCAATTGTTTATTGTACCCACAGTTTAGAGAAAAGCCCTTCAGCTCGTAAGTGGCTGTAACAATTTCGAAACGATTATAAATTGCACAAGGAATTTGTCATCGGACCTTCACCAGTTTCAGCAACAAAATATTTAGCATTCTCTGGCCATAAATGCCCACCTTGGAGTGCATGTGTGTGGCAACGTAAGTGTATACTTGGAAAAACACTGAAAATGCAATCATGACACTTGGCAAACTTAATCAAACGATTAGGACTTTCAATTATCTGATAAAGCCGGAAACTATGTGCAGTTCTCAGGGGGTGCTCCACAGCAATTGTTCAACTTGTTTGTTTCTCCGCCAGCTACCGAAAGAGCAACACAATAATAAAAGTCAAACACGCAGACAAACGGACAGACCGAGAATGCAGCTCCAAGTGCCACAGGCGGTGGGAAAAGTGGCTGGAAAAGCAGCATGGAACGAAGCATTTTCGAGTGAGTGGGTGGTGGTGTTCTTTCCCTCCACCCAACTTTTCGGTTGAAAATCACTGAGAATTTACCGCAATTAACTTTGGCACAAACTGTGTGCTTGGGCCTGGCAAGGTGAGATGATTTTGCATAGGTGGAAAAATGAAAGAATTTCCTTTTTGTAGAAAATACGAACCATTCATATTTTTATCCGAGATATAGGAACATAACTCACCGATCCGTATAAGTCCTTGTCATATTGTGACATATCTCTCCGGCCTTGTTCTCCAAATAACTTTGGATGCTCTTCAGGTGGTTAAGCGTCTGGTTGACCTGCTTCGCCCAGGGATCCCGTTGCAGCTCCAGAGCGGTCAGGTGATAGAGTATCTCGTTCTGCAGGTTCTCCAGCGGTTGGAGAATCGCGGCCTGCAGCCTTTTGGCCCTGCTGCCCAGCGTGGTCATGCGCGAGGACGTGGCCACATCCTGAATCTGGCGAATACAAATCGAATGAGCGAATTAAATGCAGTTACATTATGCACTGCACGTAGATCCGCCGCGCTGCCACCCTCTTAATTGAAACTAATCAGGCGGGGTGCCAGGTGCGTTCGCTCTCTGTTAAACGCACTCACCTGCAAGGCCACCCGCTGCATCTGATCAATGAATGTGGCCAAATCCTTTTCGGGCGTGGGCGCACCCACGCTGCTGCGGTACGTGGTCAGATTGAACGAGGAGGTCTGCAGCATGTTCTCGAGTATGTTCTGGACAGACTGCGTCAGCGAGAGGAGCGTGCGCCCGGAGACGGAAATCGCATCGATGGCGGTGGACACTTTGGGGAACTGCTTCAAATCGGCTATTTTGGTGGTATTCACGAATGCATCCAATTGAAAGACATTGTACGATGCTTGATTTTGCTCGCAGCCTCTGTTTCAAAAGGTTGTCAAAGAGAAACGTCAAAATACCAAAGGGGCTGAACCAAGGGCTGGACTACGGTTTTTTTTTGGGGCCTCGGTTGGAGAACCGGATAAACCCATGATATCTACGTGGCAAAGGGGCACATGGGCAGGGACACAGGGCAAGGATGTGGCTGTGCGTCCTGGCGAATTTGCAATTTATGCCCCTACTCCGGACTCCTCCGCCTGCATGTGCATTTGGTATTCTGCCCGGATAATTGGAATCGTGCTTAAAATTTGCGGTTACAAGGGTGTGCTGTTGGTGTGGGCCTTGGTCTATGGATTCTAGGTTGTGGGCTCTCGGGGGTGGTGCGTGCGGCTAGTTGAATTGGCATTGGCATTGGCGTGTTCCCTGCAAAATTGAGTGCCATGTGGCTAGCAAAATTTCATTGGGCTTTCAAAACTTTGTGGCTTGGGGCTGTTCTGTAGGTAGGTAGGTAGGTAGGTGCTTAGTGGTACCCTTCAGTTGGGCATGGTATGGATTTGGTTGGCATTTCGAAGCCGAATAACTGTGCAAGTCGAGTGGATAGCAAGAGAAAGTGCGGTGCTTGGCACTACGTTGCGGTTGCCCAAGTTTCCGGCTTGGAAGGAGCAGGAAAAGTTTGAGAGTGCGGCAACAACAATCACCGAAATGGGTAATCACAGTGCAATCGATTAAGTGCTTTCCGAGGGCTTCGATTGGCCAGAAATAGGATTTAAGGGGGATTGAGTATACGCTGCACTTTAATTTTTTAAGAGAAAGGTTATTTCGTTTGAAATATTATTTTCAATAAGAAGGTTCATCAGCTTTATTTTTTTTAACTTTTTTAAAATAAAAGCTTTAAAATATAGATTTTTAAAGGTGTCCATAAGACACTTTCAAATGTGGAAAATATAAAAATAAGGATGCAAAGAACAATCTAAATACGGTTAATATTTATATAAAAAATTGTTGAGCAAAGTTTAAATTTTCTTTGTATTGCTTTCAAATAAGATTAAAATATTTTCTGTAGAAAATTAAAACAAAATACTGCCATTACGTTGGCTGCTGCTTGACTTAATTTCTCTCTCAACAGCTAATCGATTCGATCATAAAATTTTGAGTACATTTTCACACAGCAAGAGGCAGCAAGTCGGTCTATGGTCTCTGGTCTCTGGGGGGCAATCAAAATTACAGGCACGTACAGTATCAAAGTAATTGGATAACAAAATTCGTTACTCGGCGCTGGCTTGGGCTTGGGCTACCTGGGGGAAGTCTGGATACACACACACATGTACATACGTTAGTGAACTTACCTAAGGGCCTGGCCGAGGCCCACATTGACCACAGAACGATTGACGCCAGCGGGACGTAGTAGCTCACCAATGATGCCCGTCTGGGGCTCCCGGGCGTATGCGTAACCTGGCTTGTCCAGCAACTTGCTCAGCGTGGAGTAATCCTCATCGTACAGCGATCGACAGACAAATACCTCGGCATTGCCACCAATGGCCAAGGAGAACACTCCATAGATGGTAAGACCAATGCTGGCCAGGCAGATGAGCATCACAGCGATAAAGAAGACCACGCCCGACTTGGAGTTGGATTCGCAGAGGAAACAGCAATAGGACATGAGCATGAAGAGCATTACCCAGACGATCACCATGCCGGCAATCCAGCCCACGCTCCAGTAGGCATCCGCCCAGTCCTTGAGCTCGTTGTACGCCGGCTGCATGGAGGGCCAGGTGCCCTCCAGTCGCCGGAGCAGTGCGTTCACGATGGAGGTCAGCTGCTGGGCATTGGCCGTAGTCCGATGCCGAATGCTCGCCAGTTGCTCCAGCGTGTCTGCGGGAGAGAAAAGTTTTGTGACCAATTCAATTAGCAGCCACAGAGCAGAACCAATGACACTAATTAATATTGGGACTAAACTCGAGTTATGAGTACTTTGTCCCTCCCAGCTCTGTCGCTGTGTCACTCTGTGCGGTATGTGTTTCGGAAATTGCATTGCCAGATTCATGGAAATGCTATGAACTGAATGGGAAGCCCGACACCTGGACTATTGATTGAATTGTACATTTAGCTCGGTGCCATAATTGAGTTTTGGCCAAAGGGAACAATATGGATTTTGAAGCCGATTAATAGAGACTGGGTACAAGGGTGGTAGATTGCCTACTGATGGTGGTTCTGGTGGACTCTGTAAATACACGCCGGCTTCCGCTTTTTTTTCTTTGATTGCTCTACTCACAGTTCCGTTCATATGCCGTGTCATGTTTAACTTGTTGCGGGAAATTGCTAAAAATGGAACGTGACACGCCAACTTCCGATGTCAGATTTTTGACAGTGGCCCCAAATTCAATTTCGCCCAAGTAGCGCATACGGAAGATGCTCTGGTCCTCTTGCAGCTGACAAATTGTCGGCGATGTCGACGTTGTCGTCGTCGTCGTCGTTGTCGTTGCAGTTGTCCAGGAAATAAGATATTGCGGGTGAAATTAGAAAAACAGTGCAGTGGAGGGAGAAAAAAGGGTGAAAAGGAAGTAAAAGTACAAATTATTTATACGTAGAACTGGCAAAAGGCAAAAGCTCGGTGACCGAAGCATTGAGTACCCTAGGAGGTAAAGTATATCTACGAAATAAGCTTAAAAAGGAAGCTAACGGTATAGGATAATATTATTATCTGTTAAATATATTTAATAAAATATATTATATAAAGAAAAATTTATATATATTGCAGAATAAGTTATGTTCAAAGATCTATAGCACAAAATAATATTTAAGAAAGGTTTTGAAAGATAAATAATTACTTATTTTGTTATTTTCCTATATTTTAGGTTTGTCATTTTTTAAGTAAACTAAAAACTCAGGATATTTTGACGTTTTTAATTTCAAAAATGAAATTAGCTCAAAGGATTCGTGCATATATTAATTTAACACCAACAATTATTGAATACTTAGCCTATAAATTCATATTTCTCTTTAACAAATCCCCACATAGTAATGATATTAAAAATATCTCAACTTATTTCTCCAAACCCCCTTATATCTAGAAATACCCCTTTGAAAAAGAGTATAAAACGGTTCATAATCGAGCAGCGGTATATAAACTGCACTGCGCCATAAAGAACTCACAGTTTTCAGCGCGTCCACCACGCCGTTCTCCTCGAAGCTGCGTATACGCAACGTGTCGCAGAGCGGGCGGTCGCGGTACGTGCACTGGCGCTGCAGCACGGACAGCTGGATCTGCAGCTCCTCCATCCGGGCGGCCGCCTCCTGGGACAGCTTCAGTGCCCGGCCGACCGTCTCCTGCAGCATGAGGACGCGATAGATGAGCTCCGCGTTCGCTGACAGCGACAAATGCACGAAAATATTATTATTTGCAGCGTTATTGTAGCGTGTTTTATATGGACAGGACACGACAGGACGGCTAAGAGGAGCGGAAGGGGAGTCAAGGAGTCAAAGGAGAGCATGATTCCAAATTACACATTGTGTTCGAAGGCGAACCATAATGGAGTTGTCATCTTGGCAATTGTGCGCGACGAGGACTTTCGACTGGATCCTCCATGAGTCTCCGTTTGCATTCCCCAAAAATGAAATTGGGCGCAAACAATCGTTTTTGGCTATAGATACTATATATTTACCGTTGGTTTGAGCTTTCTATTTGTTGATTTCAAGATGTTTTTGGTTGGGATTTGTATAGATTGCTTGAATAAATGTTGAATTGGGTTTCTAAAGTGATTTGTATGCTACAAAAGATCTAAATTTAAAACGTTTTTACTTCTTGAAATCTTAATTTATTTAAAGGATTTTAATATTTAAAACTCAAATCGATAGAATCAATGGAAATTAAACTAAGAGTGGGGAAAACTAAGAGAAATGTGAAAAATTCACAACGCCCACCCTGAGCAGCCGGCACAACCCGTTCGCCATTGAAAGGTCACACCCATTTTAGCTGTAATTTATTGGGGCTGGTTTATTGTCATGTTTGGCCAACTGGGAAAGGGGTTTCGGTGGTTTGGGGTGGGAGTGATGGCACATCTACTAGGTCTACTGGCCATGTTCGCCTTGCCACGAACAATGGAATTTGGGTCAAGTCCGTAACCAGACAATCGCATGGCAATCGCATGGGAGCACTTAACCAGAGCGCCCTGGTACCACCACCACTACCACTACTAGAATTCGCATCCGTACTCACCCAGGCTAAGTGTCGTCAGTGAATCATACGCCAGCTCAAGGCCAGTGTGTGCAGATATTTCCGCTTGAATCGGCTCGCCGAGGAGGACGTCCACGTCTGCGGGAGGAGAGAAGGCAGACACACACATGAGCTCCATATATAAATTCATACATTTGGGAAAGTTTGAGAATAATGCATGGATCGAAGGCCGTAAGTGCACGGCTTCGAGTACAAAGTTGGCAAAGCGATTGTCGAATGTTGAATGTCGAATGCCGAATGGCACAAACTTTTGCGTCGCCCCACAACCGCCGATTGACTGACCTTCCAAGTCTTTGACGACCCGCTCCACGGAAACGTGAAAGCCATTATCCAGTTTGTGTTTGATTTGCAGATGCGTGTCCTTCAGGAAGACCTCCACGTCGTGCACAGCTGACTGGACCATTTCGGGCGTCATCTCGATTCCGGCGGACAGGCGACTATTAGCGTAGAATATACTAAAGTCGCTGAGCCTGAAACCCGATTTAACCTTTCGATTACTCCGTAAAAGTAGCGATTGAAGAGCCTCAACTCACGTCAGCAGCACGAACACAATCCACAGAGTAACCAGGCCGGCGCTCTTACGGCACCGCAAACTTTCCTCCAGCGCCTCGTCGCGAATGTTGCACGGCGCATTCCGTATGTGGTCCACCTCCTCCTGCGTGGACCGGCGACCGCAGCACCAGGCACAGGTGGCAATCAGCGGCACCAGGGCCAAAATGGCGAACACGCTCATCAGAGCTATGAAGCCGGACTCGATTTTAATGGCCTAAATGGGGTAGGCGGAAGGAGTAAGAGGAAAATGCACCAAGTCAAAGGGACACTCACATTGGAGGCAAAGTCCAGCAGGCTGACATTTTTGTGTAGGACATCGCGAATAGAATCTGAAATATAACGAAAATGCTACATATATTTTCTAATTTTCCGACTACGATTTCTTTATCACTTTTCACCCTCATAAAACCCCATAAACCTCCAAAAAGTAGCCCCACTTCCAGCTCATCCATCTCAATTGACTTTTATTTCAGGATAAGTTCGGAACTATCAGTGGATAACTGCGTTGCCTGCTCCTCGCTTAGGTGTTGTATGACCACCACATTGCAGAGATTGGCCTGCACCAAGGTGCGTGTGTCTGTCTCGAGCAGCTCTTGGCGAGGAAATGCCGTCATCAGGACAAAGTTCCTAGAGGAATACTGTGGCCTGGCCATCCGTACATATCTATACAGATCTCCTATGTTGTGGGTGAGATTGAAGCGCCCGGCCACGCGGCTTCCGTCAGCTAGCCTCAGCTGAACGATGGTTATGGCTGCCCCCTCATTGATCTGCATCGTCGGAAACTGCACCGGCAATGTGCCACCTACACCTACTTGGGGTGAGGGACTGTTTAGGGAACGACCTGGCCCCATGAACTGTTTCCGCGATAGATGGCGAAATGATTCGTTGGTGTGGTCCTGGACGCTCAGCTGCAAGTGCGGGTGGTTGTTCAGAATCTCCTCGGGGTAATCTCCACGCAGAACGGCGCTCAGGAAGCGTTCGTTTTCGGGCAGGGCATAGAGTCTTAGGCTACCGTCGTTCAGGGAGAAGCCCTCGGACCAAAGGTGCAGCACCACTATGGTGTGCTCATCCTCGGGGTTCTCGTTGTCTGAATCCTCGCCAGGCGGACGTGCTGGCGGCGGATTGATGGGGTGAGCGCTGCCCAAAGTTACGCCGTGACCCCAGACTCGCAAACTCCGATCGCTGTCGATGGTGGTCAGGGCGGGTGTGGAGTTGCCGATGCCCACCCGCTTCTCCACGGTCGTCTCATGGCCCGCGGTTGAGTTATCCGAAGTTCCAGCCCTGTAGCCAGATTGGTCGCTATTCTGTTGACTGATCTGCGTTTGGAGGTCTTTTTGGCTGTCATCCTGCGCTGTTGGCTTTTCCTGAGTCTCGGCGCCAGATTTCTCCGCTTCCTTTTTGGCCGCCGTCTCGGATTCGTAGATATTGCTGGCCACCTCTAAGGACCAGTTGTTGGAGCTTAAATACCGACGAGCTACCTCCTTCTGCACGCCATGTCGCTTCATGAAGGTGCTCAGCTTCTGCTCATCGGTCATCTGAACAGCAACGCCCAATTTAGGGGCAATTTCGATGAATAGAACTTATAGAATCATGTTATATTATTTTTAATGGCCTGACACCGCCACTGTGGCAAGGCCGCCTAAGCTAGGCTGTGTAGTGAAAATCCGTGTGGCGACCAAAGCCACAGCCATAGCCACATCCTCTTGCCCTACATGCATATTTAATGGAAAAAGGTTCATGGCTGCGGTGGCCTCCATTCACGTTTTTGGGAGCAACAGAAACTATTTAAGCCTTGATTGTTTTAAACCGAAACCAACGTATTAGTGCAGAGGAAAAAATTTCTGCATTATTGTAATAGAATTTTAATTTTTCGTTTTCCAGACAAGTGCAGCCAAATATTTCTAATAAAATTAAGATATATGATTCGTGATCCATTTACAATGTAATATAATACAATACAAGACACTCTTTTATAAGATAATTTCTTCTAAAGACTTAACCAAAACCTTATTTTTCCAAAAAACTACCTTTGACTTTTAAAATCCCAGCATTTTTCCATCCATTATTTATCTCTGTGCACTATTTAACTGAAAATTTCCATCTGTCCCGAATAACTCGCCTATCCTCCAAATACTGTCCCGAATTTACATCTCTAATGCCTTCATTGTTGTCGGGCTGACCAGAAGGAGGGCTTACCCATCCGCCCACTAGCATGGATACATGGACACCACACACATGGATTCAGGGACACGCCCATTTGTGTTGGGAGGGGAAAAAACTTACCCAGCGGCAATTCCTCGGGCGTGATAAGCGATAAAAATTCACTAACGTAGGTGAATATAAATGGTCCTGGCGCTATGTCCATGCCTGGTATGCTGTAGGTAAAAAATGTGGCTGGCGTTGTTGGTGCTGTGGCCACCGCAGTTGTTGCTGTTGTATTTGCTAATGCTAGTGTCGTGGCCACCATCGCAGATGTGGTCGGTGCTCCGGATCCGGATACGAAGCTGGCCATTGCTGCTGCTGCCGCTGTTGCTGCGGATGACGAGGACATAATTGTTGTTGCGGCTGGCGTTGGCAGTGTTAGATTACGCTGGTCCATCTTCGGCCGGATGGCTGCCTTAACTTGGTCTTAACTCTCGCTGTTGGCCAGGACTCGCCTCCTGCGAATGAATTAATGCGGAACAGGCACGGCCATGAGGGATCCGGCTAAACAAAAACAGACACACACACACGCAAACATGCCAGGGTACCAGGGGGATGTTGTAAAATATTTTCGGAATTTTATGTTCCAATTATGCATTCATATGTATGTATGGGGTTCATCCCCAAGTAACTAGCCTGGGGGCCTTCGCTAGCAACTCACTGGGACTATGTGACATTCACCAAATTAATGAATATGAGAGAGCCGTGAGGAATTTTCACATATTTTCCAAACAAATTAATTTTTTTGTGGGTCCTACATTGTATTTATTATCCAGCCAGTGACCTCTTTTTCTGGGGGTTCAACTTCGAGGTGACCCCAAGTTGGGTTTTCAATATAACGTATACGTAGTGGTGGCCTAATAGTATCCTTTCCTTCTTTTAAATTGGTATTTAAAGCTGAAACTATCTTAATACATTTTTAAACTATTCTCACTCGAGACCTTCAGGGCGTATACTTAATTTAATGTTCAGACGTCAAGTATACGCCCGGTGTACCCACTTGCTGACCAGCTGCAATAGCCTGACAAGGTTCTGTTCCATTTAATTGCCGTCCCTGAATGTTGCCTTGAATCGAATTCTTCACCTCTTAATTCTATTAATTTTATGTTTCGCTTTGTTGCTGTCTTGCGCTGTCTTTGCCCTTTCCAATGCTGTCAACACATTTTCGAAAGAGAAAACACAAATAAAAAAAAGCAAACAAAAAAGCAACGTAAATGTCTCTTTTCCACCACCCACACACATATCAATGGGTAATGACTTTCAGAGACTGTATAACTACTTCTCCACTATCTCCTCTTCTTTTTTCTCTTTCTACATTTCTCTTTCTCTGAGTCTCTGGTCTTCTCTGTGTCTGGGAATGGACATGTCTCTCTTCTTGGGGGGGTCCGCCAAGCCGTGAGGAAGCCCCTCAAGTTTCGCCGCTGGAAAACTCAACTCATTTGTTTTCCTTGACAATACGACGTGCGCCGTTTGCCGCCATTATCGCCCATTCATGCTGACCATTGGCCATTGGCCACACTAATTGCTCCGTCGTGGGACTTGCAGAATTAGACCAAAACTTAAATAGTCTTGAGCCCGAAAGTGGGTCATTAAAACTCGATACCCCGATGCATTGGCTGGGTCTTGCAATGTCCTCCCCCCTATATGCCAATATATGATGGCACCTTTTAACTGCCCATCTCTCCCTCTCTCTCTATATAGAATATATGTACATATAGGTTTGGTTTGTTTGCTCTGCATGGGCGATTATGTTAGCCCAGTGGGCACGAGTCAAGGCGCTCGAATGTGCTGCTGCTGGCCAAGCTCTTTCAAAGGCAACTCGATACGCAACGATACTGGGACTTGTTGTCGGCTATTATCTACCTATTATTGCAGCTATATGTGTAGCTATATGTGGAGCTATTAGTAAAAGCCGTTACAATGATAACAGACGAAGTATTATGGAGCGAGGTGGCAGAGTTCAATGCATTGGGTCAACAGTGACTGAAAGGGCTTTTCTCTGGGGGCTTACAATGAAGTTATTTACAATGTGCTTTGTATTTGTCTTGTACTAAGAATAAAGAGAGTGGTTAGTAAATGAAATTTGTAATGAATAAGCTATTTGTTGAATATTTTAGTGCAAAATTATGAATTAAATTATTGTTGTAAAACCTCAAGTTAACTCTAATTTGCTTTCAATCTTATTTTATGACATTACTAAGCCACAAAACTCCCTTGTGTTGTTGACATTTATTTAAGTCCCCCGATAATGAGTCAGACTTAATGCTCCAGTTTTTGCCAATGCACCGAATTCGATTAATTAACAAATTGCACGCCAAATGAACTTACGCACCTCGTTTGGATTCCCAATTAATTGATTGATGTCGAGCCAAAGCCCTGGCTCTTTCGCTAGCTCTCTCTCTCTCTTTCTGTCTATAGACTCACACACACTCCCTACACACACACTCTCGCCCATTCATGCATATGGTGTGATTATGGGGTTTGGCTTTGCAAATCATGCTTTTAATTGAACGTTATATTTAAATTCGAATGCAATTAGTTTGATATGTTGATTCGTTTCGTTTATTTGAACATTGCGCTACCGAAACCCGAAATTGAGTTGATATCGATATCGATTCGCAGCACTAGAGTGCAAATATACATATAACGAGGGCCACGAGGGTTTGCGGATCGAGTTTTGCGATAATTTTTCGCTATTTACTTTGCACATGCAATCAGCGCCGGCAATTGTCAGACAATTAATTATTCATTTTCACATAATTAGTAGAGTCGTACCAGTGGGAATAAGTTATGCTTGTATGTATATATATATATCCTTCTCACTTGACTTGTCTCGCGATTTCAGAACAAAGCTCGACCAGCGCCGTCAGACGACTGAATGCTGAAAAAGGTGTTAGGCCCAAATAATCAGCGAAGAAAACTTAGAAATTTTTCCCTATTTTACTTTTTGCATTAGCCGACAGACACAGCGAGTGAAAATGTACAAGAGGCGTATGGTGAATACCGACTAGGTGACATTTTTCCGGTTTTAGGGGGAAAAGCACATGGATGCAACGGCGGGAAAAATGCGGGAAAATATTTAAAATATATTTAAACTATTTATATAAAATGTAGTCTTTCCAAGTCAAAGTAAGTAAAAGTTTACTGCATTTTTTTTTAGGTTTACATTTTTAAGATATACTTATATACATATATGTTTTTAGTACTCTCATTTGGTTTATAGGCAATAAAAGCGATACCTCCTCAAATGACAATATTTTCCTTTCAAAATGCGATTTATATTTTCCTAAGACCTTTTGAGAACCATCTGCGATTTAGTTTCCATGAGCCATGTCACTCTAGATCTCCAGCAAAGCCTCGCTAAAAGCTCTTCAGTTCTCGTGGAAATGCCAAATATATATCTCATAAGTAGTAACGACCAATTTCGCAGTTTTTGTTTGTGTTGGCGGCAGGCGCCTTGAGCTTTGCATTAAGTAGACTTTACTTTAAAGTTGCATCAACGCCAGGCCAAGCCAGACAAAGTTTTTAGCCAGCGCCAAAAGCGGAGAGAGCGGAATAAAGTTGAATCAGAGGGCGAAAGCTGGGTGGAACTGTCATTTTCCTTGGAATTTTCCTCAACATATTGTCAGAGCTCTCAGCGGGAGACGCCAATGACAACGACAACGAAAACGGCAACGACAACGACAACGACATCGCCGGCAAACTCTGGGCCTTGGTAGCTGCAATGCCTCCGTTCCAGAAGTGCCTTTCATGGCTAAAATTCAATTTGCCTTTGATTTATGCATTTTACGTCAGATTTGCACGCCGGCCTGAAGGGCTTTTCAAACTTAAAGTCAGTGAAGTCTGGAGTCTGTATTAAATGCAAATGATGACCCAGCGAAGGTCGATTTGTTTCGGGAAGACAACCGTGACAGAATGTGCATTCGGCTTTGGCCACAACGGGTTCTTTGACTGTCCTTTGAGTGAACTTGACATCCCATTTTGTGTGTGTGAGGCTCCTTCCGATGCAATTACCTGGAGGCGCTCGGGTAATACATATATTTTAACTTGTTATTCCCTTTACAAAAATTATATAAATTGGGTTTCACATTTACTTTATTGCAAGGCGATTTCTGTGGTCCCCTGATGGGGTTTCTTGAACCAGTTACAAGATCTATTCGGTAGACAATATCCAGAGCTCACAAGGGGCCACTGCAAGATCGAACTTACTGCATTTGCATTAGCCTTTCACTAGAATTTCCAACTCTTTCATTGTGATGACTTTAGTACAGCAGTAGCTGGTAGAGTTGAGAGACCAACCAACCCCCGCAGAGCATGAGCATGTCCATGGTGAGTGTAACGCCGCCATTTTTAAAGTCATTAACTGTCTTCTGGATCCAATCTCTGTAGTGCGGAAAGCTAACAAACTTCATGGACCGACCCTCAGAACAGCCCATAGTTCCGGCAATGATTCCGGCGAGAGCACCCTGACAAATGAGCGGCCCGCCCATGTCACCGGCGCACATCTGACCTTTGGTTTTGGGATGCACACATATGTCATCTTCATAAAATGAGTCGATTTCCCTTTTGCAGTCTGACGGCGAGCTAAGGATCACATTCAGATATAGAATTTCATCCGAGTAAGGTCCGTGCTGAAAGTAGTAAGCAAATAAGAATATGGGTATATGGGTTTCCAAATGGATAGCATCGTAATTCACCTGATATAGCTGCCCCCAGCCCATGGTTAAACAGGTATTGTTAACGGTCACGTTCGCCTTTTTGCGTAACGCAATAGGCTGCACCTCGGGGTTGTAGCTGGGAATTCGTTTGTTGAGCCGGATAATGGCCAGGTCGTTTTTCTTGTAGCGCTCGTAATCCGGATGCACCATTAGGCGATCTGCGATCCGGCTGTCATCGTGGACATTGTACGAGTCCAGCCGTTTGAAGTGACCGAACACCACCTGAATGCCACGCGGCTTCAGCGTGGCCTTATATCTGCTGCGATAGAATTATAAATCTAGAGGAAGGAGGGAATAATCACCTCGGATTCGACACTTACTCCGTCAGACAATGGGCGGCGGTTAGCACGGCTCGGCTGCTGATCAGGATACCGGCGCAGAAGTGATTATCACCGGGATTCTTCAAATAGCTAACCGTCCTGATAGAGACCACGTGGCGGCTCCATCTAAATATGTTGTGCGTGTGGCCGCCAGAGATCAGGAACTCAAAGGTTTCATCGCTGACATCGGTAATGACCCCGTGGTCGGCCCTGGCAAAGAGTCGAAGTAGGGTAAGCCACAGAAACCAAAAATGGATATTCGGTCTTTTCATTTTTGAAAATTCGAAAAACGACAAACATAAATTGATGTATGTAAAACTAAATTTCAAAATTACATCCAGTCATTTTGAAATTTGAGTGATAGGTCTATCACTAAGTGTATAAAATTATAACGAATAAATAAATATATAATATTAATACGAGCTTAAATGAAAATATAAACCTAAATTTCCCAAATCCCGATCTGAAAACTATAGATAAACCGGAGTTCTAGGTTCTTAAATCAAAGCCATTTATGGGCTTGTCAATGAAATGTCAATAAATCAGTGCGCCCCTAAATAATCCACTCTGTTGCCCCCAATCTTCGTCTCCTCAGCTGATGGAATAATCGCTTCCCGGTCTCCCATATAATGTATGCACATTTATGGTACGTCGAGGGCCGACGAGGGCCATTGTGGGGCAGCCAACCGCAACAGCAATAACAGGAGCATAAAGTAAACATTTCCCTTTTTTATGTGCTCTAGAATTTCTGTGGCGAGGCAAATATTTAGCAGCTGACACTCGTTGTGAGTGGCAGTTGAGAAGCTTCTCTCGTCTGCTCTGGCGGCTCCGGGTGCTCTTGCTGCTCCGGATGCCTCGGCGGCTCCACGTATAATGCAATTTTCAGCCCCCCAACAAATTAAATTCAAATTGTGGACGGATGCAAATTTAATGAAACGCCAACGGCAAAAGACAGCAGCAACATTGGCAAAGCCCCCGGAACTCAAACTCAAACCACAACCGAAGGCAAAGCCAGAAAACCGAAAGCCGAAACCGGAAACCAAAACCGAACAACATGGGACAGGCGCAATAACCAAAATTAAAGCCGCACTAATGAGCAGAGACAATCCCGAAAGAGTGGCGCAAATGTGCCAACGACCAGGCGGCTGCCTGTCTGTGGGTGTGGATGTGGATGTGGATGTGGCCACTGGAGAGGGAATGCATACATGCAGATGCCCATGCCGATGCCAATGCCAACGCAGCTGCAGCTGTGCTGTCTCTGCCTGTGTGAGTGTTGGCCAAGTGATTTTGGCCAAAGTTAAAGTGGTTTTTCAGTTGCGACAAAATTGCACAGGAAGTCACGTTTCCACTTCGCCTGATGCAAAATGACGTATTCCGCAGAGCAGTGCTTTAATCATGGGCTAGTTACTAGTTACTACTATCCGATTTTGCCGCCGAGAGCGGCCTTCGGTGGGTCACCTGGGTCACGGGCATGAAGCCTGTGTCGCCCAGGCAGCGAAGGGTCACGTAGCCCGTTGGATGCACCGTCAGCCAGGTAATGGAGCCATGGTTTAGATTGAGACGCGTCCAGGCAACGGGCGGCAGTTGGAGGGCCCTCAGGATCAGATAGCGGATCACATTCGAATGGCCCACAACTAGTAAATAGGAATCGTGCTCTTGTTCGGGAGTGGCCCGGAAGAAGTACCGCTGAAAGGCGGCCTCGATCCGGGGACCATCACGCTGGTAGGAGAGCTTCACGCGGCGCCAACTGCCATTGGGCGGCGGATCCGCCGGATAGGGGGTTCCCTCAGGCAGCAGCGAGCAGTGCTTCATCTTCTGCGAATCGATGTCCAGCTCCTTCAGGATGATCGTTGCCGTTTCTTCGGCTCGTGGCATTGTGGAGGTCACAACTTGATCCCAGGTCACGCCCATTTCCCGCAGTCTCTGGCCCGTTCTTTGCGCCTGCAGGCGTCCTAGGTCTGTAAGGTGACTGCCGTACAAGGTCCTAGAGTACTCGCCATGCCGCACCAGGATAATGTGGCGCAGGGCGGAGGACTCATTATTAAGGGGGCTGGCCAATTGCTGCGGAGTGGGCTTCTGGCGATCCCAATGGTGGAGCCAGGCACCACTGCCCACCAGGCTCCTCGCCTGCTCTCCATCCTGAACTGCCGCCTGTTCGCCTTCGAGCAGACGGATGGCCAGGTAGGTGACCAGGGAGCCGCAGCTCATAGCTACCACCGAGCGTCCCAGGACCTCCAATCTCATCGGGCAGGACTATTTGTGCGTCAAAGTGGAGCCAGTGTCAAAGCTAATTCCCCTGAAAAGCCTACAGATTTAGCTTTTATTCTAGAAGAGGCTACTGGGATTACTTATTGTTAACTACTTTGGCACATTAAGTTCAGTATTTATATTTCCCATTCATCACTCATTAAGAAGCTGCCCAAGATTCGGACAATTATTGGTTAAGCTCCATTGCAATGGCAATCAACTTTGACTCCTCCGGTCCTGGCGGTGGGCCTTGTTGCACTTTCCAAAGTTTATTCAGATTCGGACTCAAGTTCCCTGCCTTGATTAGCATTCAGGGCGAGGCAAAAGAGTTGGGGAAGTGGACGCTTGAAAGGTTCTGGTCGGGGAACTTTTGTGTCAAAGTTATTTTACCCTCGGCAGGATACTCGAGGACAACTTTCTGAGCGGCAAACTTTGCGCCCTCCACAATCAGCCGGCAAAAAGCCGAATAAGTTAGCAAGGTGATGCCATGGAAAACGAACTGTGAATTCACTCGACCAAAGGACGAGAACGAGAATGAGGACGAGGACGAGTACGAGTAATGTTTGCCTTTAAATCGCCACGGCATTTAATTCCTGCCAGTCAGCCAGCCAGCCAGTCAGCCAGAAAAGGGCAAGTCGGCGGCCTATCGCTGGTTAAATAACTTTGGCCCAAGTTTCTGCTTCATTTAATTTCAACGCCAGCGGCAAAAATGCAAAGGATATCCACAAGTGGCTGGCTGACCAAGCTCCTTTCTGGTGCGCCTAGTCTGTTGGCCGTCAGATTTGGCCTAATGAAGTTGACTGAAACTTTTGACATGCCACCATGACGCCAGAGGGATGTGCGGACTGCGAAGGTTCAGAAGTTGCGCCAAGTGAAAACCCCATCGATTGGTGACCGCCTGGAATTGAAATTAGGCGAGTTTTCCTGAACGAGAAGGAACTAATGCCGGTTTATCACCCTTAAAAGTCCCCACAGAGGCATTGGGGGACACACTGCCCTGCCCTGCCCTGGCCTGCCCTCAGCTTGGCCTTGTCCGCTGGCACACATTCAGCAGTAGCTGCTAGTCCCTGAGAGGGCCTCCTCGCAATAAGCCACTTGACGTAGCCATAAAGCAGATCTCGCATTGTGCGTCCTAGAATACGATGGGGGATTACTCTTACAAGGTGTCTGAATAAATGCGTGTATATATAGTAGGTGTGAAAGGCAGCAGGAAATGAATGCCGGAGAAAGTCAATTCAAAGTTGTAATTCATATCCTGAGAACTTGTTCGGCGCTCCATTGAAATATTTACTGCCTGCGGTCTTAGTTTGCAATTTATTGTGCTGAATTTAATATCTGCAAAGTGCATAAATCATAACAGTCTTTGCTTTTATTTATGCTCAGTTGTAAGAGTTTCCGAGTTTTAAGTATTATAAGTAATTATTAAATATTAAATTAAACACTATTTAAAAAGCTACGTTCAACATAGAACTTACCCTTGATTTGTTATTTAATATTCATAGTCTTTAAAAATTTAATCATTTCTTTGAACGAGTAGTTAAGTGTACCCTTAAATATTTATAATTGCAATGTTTGACCCGTTTTGCTTTTTCAATTAAATAAAATTAATTAATATCCATCCGTTTTCCATGGGAAATGATTTTCTGTTTGCATTCCACAAAGATCAACCTACATATGTCGTATGTTCTGCTCTGTGTAGTTTCGGTTAGTTTATGTTTTCAATTTCAGCCACATTAGGCCGAGATGAGAACGAGGAAAGCTATTAACTTGATAATCCCAGCCCATCTGTAACTGGCTAGAGAACTGGGGCAGCTGACACCATTTCCTTCTTGAATTTGCAAACAAATTTACACGAATTTGATTATTATTATGATGGCAATTTGCAAAAATGTCATCCTTCAAGCAAAAGGAGCGAGCAAGCGGAAATTTCTCATTGCACAAAGTGGCACACCAGTCCCGTTGCTCCCATACAGGGTGACCGCTCGTCCGAGATTGAGGAGCAACAAGGAGCAAGGAGGAGCCAGTGCCACCCACTTTAGCTGGGAGCAGCCTGAGGCAACAGTGTTGTCGATTTGTTAGACATTTATTTAGATTTAAGTAGAAAGTAGACTTGCTTCTGACTTATTTTTTAAATGAAAAAAAAAACCCTTTAAAATCTTAATTTCATTTCTCTCAAATTTTTCTTCCTTTTTCCAGCTAACTTTGAATAGAGCTATCCCTATTTTGAAATAGGTTCTTGGGGCAGCACTATCCGATGTAGTCCTTGGCCGCAATTGTCCCGTGCAACGTGGAGTGGACTCGCACAATTCCCTTACATTCAGTGCTGCTCCTTATCGCGGTCACCCATAATTATGGTGTTCGTCTTGGCCGGGACAGGAACAGGCACTGGGAAGCATCTTCTTGCCCTGCTCCTGCGCCTTCAACCCCTGGGCTACCCGCAACGCATCCTGCAGCAGGATGTTCAATTTTCGCTCGTCTTTTATGTTGCTTTGCCATTTTGATTTCCTTATTTGGATTGCCGCGTTGCCATCCCTCTCTATCTTTCTCGTTTTTTTTTTTTTTTTATTTTGCATTACTTTAAGTGGCCGCGACCCAGTGCCACGCCCACTGGCAGCCTGCTGGCCCCAAGCCACCCTTTGCAGATCCTTGACTAGCTGGCAAATTATCTTGTGGCGAAATCAAAAGTTTTCCGTTCTCGGGGCGGCTGTGGAAATCGTGTCAAGGGCACAAAACGCTCGCAGCCGGATCCGAGAAATTATTGCGGAAACGGATAGCAAAGCCGCAAACATTGTTTAACTTTCATTGCCGCTGCTTGTTTGTGTTTGTGCCTCGGCTTCAGCTTCAGCTTCAGCTTGTTCTCGAATAAAAATACTTGCCCGAGTATAAAGCCAACAACAACAGAAACACAAATACGGATAGGGATTGCCAATGAAAGGCAAGTTCCCAACTGCGGTTCGACCTTGTGCGAGTGTGCGAGGGTACGAGTGTGCCGAAAGGATAAGCACTTTCGGGTCCTCAAACTTTTCAGCGAGCAAATAAATATTTAATTTTTCAATTTTCAAGTTTTGGCTCCCGCTCCGCACAAGGCAAGTGCATTCTGAAACATTTTATGCTTTTGCTGGAATTGAATTAAATTGGATTACTGGGAAATTAAACAATAAACTAAAGTGACTGCCTTTGCTTTGTGTGCTCATAATCCCTCGAGCTCATGTAGTTTCTTATTTTATTTATTTTTTTAATGAAAATTATTAAATTAGGTACAGACATTGGTTGTTGTAGAGCTTTCCTTAAGCCTGAAGTATTTCTTTTTAAAATTTGTGTTTTAATGGCTTTCGCAGGACCATAAATTGCAAGAGGCGCATACACAATTGGAAATGAAAACTGCAGTTGCAATCGGTATAGAAACAAGAAAGGAAGCTAACTTCGGCACACCGAAGTTTGTATACCCTTGCAGATTGGTTTATATTATAAATTTAAATGCTGAAAACACTCACAAAACAGAGTTTCATTACATTTTACCTATACTTATTATGTTTACAGTTTGACAGTTACAGTTTTACATTCCCAGCTTTACATTTTCTCCACATTTACCGATCGTTTATATGGCAGCTATATGATGTAGTTCTCCGATTTTCATAAAATTTTTACCAAAATTCTGAAATAATAAAAGAAGATCATTTCTAAAAGTAGATAAGAATATGTTGAAAAACAACGAAGTTATAATTTTTTTCCTATTCATTGTCCGATCGTTCCTATGACAGCTATAAGATATAGTCGTCCGATTTTCATAAAATTTTTACCAAAATTCTGGAATAATATAAAATGGCTATATCTCAAAAATGATGCAAAAATATTGAAAAACAGCCAAGTTATAATTTTTTTTCTCAAAATTTATCGAACATTTGTATGGGAGCTATATGATATAGTCGTCCGATCCGGCCCGTTCCGACATATATAGCAGTGAGAGTATATAGAAGACTCTATGCAAAGTTTCATTCAGATAGCTTTAAAACTGAGGGACTAGTTTGCGTAGAAACGGACAGACGGACGGACGGACAGACGGACGGACAGACGGACAGACGGACAGACGGACAGACGGACAGACGGACAGACGGACATGGCTAGATCGACTCGGCTGTTGATGCTGATCAAGAATATATATACTTTATAGGGTCGGAAACGTCTCCTTCACTGCGTTGCAAACTTCTGACTGAAATTATAATACCCTGCAAGGGTATAAAAATAAACAAATAGAATGCGGAAGCTGCAGGGTTGCCCCATGTCCCTGGAAGCTTAAAATACGGCTAGACTCCACGCACACACTCGGGCCACACTTAATAGCTCATACGCCATGTTGGTCCTTTGTTGACTGCCTCGTTTGTTTACGGTTTAGTGGATTAATGTTTGAGAGGAGGAAAAATAAAAACGAGAAAAAGAAAACTGAAAACTGAAACACAAAACAAGCTAAATAAAAGTCAGCACAGGAATAAAAATAAAGTACAATGTGTACATACGAGCTACCGATCCCGGCATCTGGGCAATTTGTTGTTTTCTTTTGAAGTTAAACAAATCTGCATAAGGTAGAGCCAAAAGCCGTTACAATTTATGGCTCAAGCCAAGGGCTATGTCCGGGTCCGGGACGCAGCCATTGCCCTATCCCCCATTTACTTATTTTCAATGTGCTGCTCTCCACATAAATTTTATATTTGCCTTTTGTCTCAAGCTGAAGCGAAGCTCTTCTCTGCACTTGCAATTGGGCTCTTTCCTTGTTCATTTTTAATTTCCCCTCTTGGCTGCCTAATGGCAATCAAATTACATTGCGCTTTAAAACTAATTGCGTTCATTGCACTCCGAGTTGGAGTCTTTGATATTGGTCCCACAATTTTCAATTAAAAAGCACTACTGGCCACATTTTTGATTAGCCCAAAACGAAGAAACTTGCTCATTTCATCATCATTTTTGGTTTTCCACAGAAACTTTTGTGCAATTAAATTTTGGGCCACTCGGAAAAGCACTCGAAAGAAATAAATATGACTGAAATGAGGCAAGTTCTGAATAGAACCAAAATTT